ACAGATTTTTCCCACAGATTCCCTGCAACACACCCTAGACTACCAGGAGGGCAGATTCCAGGTCCAGGCTGTAGTTTAACAACTTGGACCATCACGAACAGTAATCAGAAAAACTTTCACTCAAAAACATGTGCATGTGGGCTGCCTTATTGCTCAGATCAGTTTTGAAAACAGCTTTCTCACCAATTTCTGGGGACATAACCATACACCATATACCAACAAGCCACAGGGCAACCACTAATCTAATATATTTCAATGGTGGGGGTGTTTGCATTGCCTTACTCATCAAGACAGAAGAGTAAGAGGGAGTGAAGAAGTGAATGGGCTCTGATAGCGCTGCTGATGGGAAGACAGTACAGATGCATCTGGGAAGGGGATGTCCCTTCCATTATCCCCAACCTGACTGCAGGGAAGGACTGGGGGGAAAGATACATAAGAGTGCAAATAAGAATATTCCTGAACTAACAAATTTCTCAACCTTTAATTAAAAGACAGAAAACTCACTGCTCACATTGCACAGGCATTTCTGCATGGATACTGAAGGTCTATTTTATTATACAGAGAGGATGCTGCTGGGTGCCAAAGGTGCAGCAGACTCGGGGTTTATTGCTCCTTTTGCATACCTGAATCACATTAAAATAAGGAAGACAATGGAGAAAAATAAATCTTATTGAATAAATGTCACTCCCATTCCCAGTTTTCTTTCCTTCCTACACAGCCAGTACTTTTTAATCATCTCATGTCAGTACAATGTCACGTTCTGTAATAACAGGGTGAGATGAACCTGCTTATCTTTGACAGCAGAAACTATTTCCGCCAGGGTTTTGCCCAAAGCAAGTGCTTCTTCACATTTCTGCAGGCTGGCCATTTCCTCACTTCTGCCACACCAAAAAGATAAACTGCTTTGTACACAAGGATGGTCTTAATGCTCTTGCTTTCATATAGCTGCTCTTATTCCTCAGGAAGAATCTCAGTCTGCTTTACAAACACTGCCAGCAGATTTACAAACTATATATAGAAATCGTTTCACTTGCTACTGATGTACAGACATAGGGTGACCACAGCAGCTGTTTGGAATTACATCGCAATATTGCTCAACAGGTTTGGAAAGGAAGTAGAGGCCACTGTATTGCAAAGAAAGTAACGGAGGAATTGCTGTGTGCACAAAAAGTGTGGGGTTTGGAAGGCTAATTTCAATGGGATGCAGTTAGCCTACTACTCTTTAAAAAAAGAAGCATAAAAAAATAGGTAAAATCTAGCAATGTAAGAACTATATTATTTGTGGTGGTATTTGCAAATACACTGTAATATGTGTGTCCACACCAGGTAGTTATTAAATTGTAAGTGATTGTGGAAACTGCATGGATTTCATCCTTTGTTAATATCTGAGTCCCAGACAATTCTCCCATGTAACTTAGCCAAACCTACGGTTGGTCATTCAATTTAAAAAATTACCCTATTTCTTTATACACGGAGAGCAAAACAAGTACTTACCTTATTTAGCATTTCCTTTGTCACTTTTTTAAAACAGTGTGTGTTTATTAAGACTTTTATTTAAAAAGATATGCCAGCAATATAAACAAGTTGTATAATTAATAGGGAATTAAATACAAGCAGCAGTACTAACCAGATGAATTCTCTACTCTTTAATTATGCCAGGGGGTTGTTGTGTTTTTCCTTTTTGTTAGTCCATATTGATAATAACAGGAGTTCTGAGAATATCTACCATGCTCAGCATATGTGGACAAATGGCAATGGGTTTGCCCAATTAGATGTAGAGATTTCTACTGAAAATTTAAATTTTGAAAATTAAATGTAAACACATTTTGCATGTCACCAGAGCTAAACTGTTATATCATTCTTATGACTACTAACCATTCACTAACATATTTTTGTAGCTTTTCAGGAGAACCCCAGCTCCCTAAGCCAGTCCTCATAAGACTTATGTTCCAGTCCCTGGAAGTGATGGAAAAACAAAAGACATAAGACCTGTTCTACAGAGATAAGTCATCACAAATTTATGTCCATGCAAGCCATAGCCAAACCATGGATATCTTAGTAGGGGTTTTTTTTCTGCCCCAAGTAAGGATCACAAAAAATCCCTCTACCTTACCCCAAGGTAGACTCAAAAGGGCCTGTGACTTTGTGACTGTGTTTTTCCATGTGTGACTCCTGTCCTGATGGCAATAGTCTGACAAAGGGCAGCTCAGGCACTTTGGAGCCCATGCCAGAACACAGAATGCTGCAGTAAAATTGCTGCTCACCTCCCGCCTCAGCCTCGCCCCCCCTTGATACCCAGAATAAGTTCTGCCAAGCCAGCCCCCAAAATTAGATGGTAGTCAGTGCATGGAGTTTTATAGATGACCCATTCACAACATTAGGACTTCTACAGGGAATAGCTGGTCATATACAGGACTCATGGCTATGGTTTGCTCCCTTCTTCACTGAGCTCTGAAAACACTCACAGCTACAAAGTCCTTCCTAAGGGTGCTGAAAAGGCTAAAGGCTGATGTAACTACTGTTGAATGCCTGGCTCCTCGGAGAGCTCACAGCCTGGGGCAGCTGCTTGTGTCAGATTTTGTGAGATATAGAAACCAAATTATACCTCTGATTTCAAGCATTGTCCCCAAATCGATAGGAGTCCCTATCCGTCAGCATGCCTGAATCAGTGCCAGGGCATTTAATTACTTGTCGACAACATCACCCGGGGTGGGGGGGGGCAGGCATGCCATGGAATTGGATTGCGGTGGAACAGCCTGTGAGACACACCCAAAAAGTCAAGAAAATTAAATTCTAATGTTGCAAGGGCTCAATCACAGTCCAAGTAGCGAAAATGATAAGTTTTTTTTCCTACCAGCTTTTTTCTTCCAGCTGGGGATGATGCCTTTGTGTCTTTTCACACAGCTACCAGCTCTGGTCTAGTTACATTTCCTGCTTCTACCACCACGTACTCAAGTCAATAGAAGTAGCATCAAATGGTCTGGCTGCAAAATATGGGAGTCAAAAAGTTGTGTTCAATTCCTAGCTGTGCCATAAACCTGACCTGGGGAAAACAGCTCCCTTTCCATGACTATCTCACCTCATATTTCATTTAAAATAAAGTTTTGCTTCTCCCTCCAATTCACAGATGCCTTAAAAATATGAAAGACACTTTCTCATAATGTTGTATTTGCTTTAGTGTTGAGAGGGGTGGGGAGTGGAAGGGGAGGGAAGCAAGGGTGGGCAGAAGTCTTCAATAAACAAACAACTTCAGTGGTGAAGGACAGAAAAGCTTTAAACCAGTATCAGTCCATCTCCTGTAACAGGCAACCAAACAAAAAAAGGGCCTGGATGTACTGATTAAAAGATAAACACAACAAATACCATGTCTTTTTAGCTCACTTAATGATATTCTAAGACTAATTCATGGTATTTTAAACACTTGGGGCAATGCTGAGTGCTACATCTGAATGCTTTGATGCTGCAGGCAATGTAACTACTGCCTGATGCTTGTATGAAGTCCTAAATATAAACCTTTGCCCGTGAACTAAAATTACTAATGGAATTTGGCTCTAGCCACAGAAAGGGTTTAAAATCTCCTGTCTAAAGCCTTATTTAATCATGTTTCCTTTGCTGGTTGCAGTATACTGTATCAGATATGCAATTACCCAGACTCTTGCATTATGGTCACTGTATTAATTAAAATTACCACAATTTAAGATTTATTATGACTGGGCCCATATTTCTGATTAGGAATTCCCACAAAGAAATATCAGTTTATGGGTTAGGAAGCATTCACATATTTGTCTTGGTATGTCCAGGAGGTATCGGCCAGTGGAGCCCAGACTTGCCATCAGCTGTGTTGGCTTCACGGGGCACTCTGTGCTCAGGCTGTCCTGCAGTCACCAGGGGCATCCTTCTCTCAGGGCTCTGGCCCAGACTTCCTCATGTCCCAGACCAGAAATTTTCACTTTTTCTGTTTGCTTCAGTTAATCTGTCGTGACAAGGGACAGACACACAAAGGACAGATACAGCTGCCTTTGGAAGTGAAATTTACGCCTCTGACTCACAAGTTAGGTTTTATAGGACAATGACATTAAGCAAATAAGGAGAAATTCTGAAGAACATGGAGAGTCAATTTAGGGGGCAGGGCAGAAGCTGAGCTTTGGTTTGTGTGAATATGTGTGTGTGATAACCAGCATATCTCTCAAATAACATGATGCCCAGAGTTGCTGGGGCTGCCCCATCCCTGGAAGTGTTCAGGGCCAAGTTGGAGCTTTGAGAAACCTGCTCTAATGGAAAGTGTCCCTGCCCATGGTAGGGGGATTAGAACTAAATGATCTTTAAGGTATTTTCCAACACAATCATTTGATAATTGTGGGTTTAGCTAAATGGATTATGCCCTATGTAATCCTGACATCTACCAATTGAAATATCTTTTTAGTTGGTAGGGTTTTTATTTTTTTTGGTCGTTACTCAAGATGGAAGGGATAGCAGAAAAACAAAGGGAGTAACTGCAATCAACTTTTAATGAAATATCTTTAAATTTATTCTGTCAGATTTTTTTCTCTAAATGTGCAGAACCATACTGTGGAGTGCAGGACAGTATGACTGGGGCGAGTCTGTTCAAGAACTGAGCTGACAAAATTCTGAAGGAACCAAAATTAAAGTTATAATATTTCGTAATCAAGGGGACATGCTGCTTGATTTCCTGGTTTGTTTGCCCATCAAAATCTACTCTTTGTTTAAAAGAGTCTACCTAAAGCCCCTTAAATTTTGCCAGGCCTTGAAACATGCACACACAGAAGCTGTACCTGGGAGCAAACACTTTGCAAAAATACCTAAAAATAATAATTTAGATGTTTGAAGAATTTCATATAGGACCATGATCCTTAATGTACAAAGTATGCTACAACACTTTGGATGAATGTGACCTGACATAAGCAACTAAAATTTCCTTTAATAAATCATAACATTATAAACTGGAAATTAGGTATTTACCCAGTCTGTGGTATCTCTGTTCATTCTTCCTGTGCTTCTATGAAAAACTGAATTCTTGTGCTTAGAGGCACATAATCCATGCAATCCATAAAAACACAAGCCACTTTTCCAGCTAAATATCTCAATCATGGAACAGCAATAAACTCACAGAACTGAAACAGAGAACCCACCAAGACATAATTTCAAAATCTGTGCAGAGGAATCCCAAAGAACATATTTTAAAGCAATTTCAGAAGATAATTTTTAAAAAGTCCTAGCAGTGGCCTTCAATAATCAAATTGATACCTAAGTAGGTTATTTTAAAAGCAATTTTTTTCCATGTTCAATCTTTGTGAGCCCTTAACTTATGCAAACAGACCTGAAGGCAATAAAGAAAAAAAAATTGCTGTAATCTGTGGCACTGCTTTGTTCAACAGAAATATTTCTTTGGAAACACCTCTACTCCACTGGTTAGGAAAGGAAATAAACTCCAGAATTCTACTTCAGGATTTCATAAAATTTCCTTTCTAAATCTCTAATATATTAATGCAAATATAAAACCCCATCAATACTATATATTACTATATATTACTTTCTCTATCTCAGACCAGAAAATGAGAAATGGCAATTTTATTTTTAGAATGTTTTCAAAAAATAATTTTGACAGTATGTTAATCTTAATTCAACACCATAAACCAAAATGTTTAAATCTGACAAATGAAAAGAGCAAAGTGACAAGAAGCAAGGAAGGTATGTATTTACTCATTTATCCTTCACTGAAGAAGAAGTCCAACCAGGAACAGGCTCATGCTCTGGAGCAGGCCACACAAAAGAATTTCCAAAGATACCCTGACACATAAAGTCCAAACACATCTCCACATTATATCCATGACTGAACAACAGCCTCAGCATCATGTCATCAGTCTAAGAATACCAGATGCACTGGGGAAATGTGTATCATTGAGCAACAAAATTAGCAGTTGACATCTTCTCCATAAGATAGTAGCTTTACAATTCCATGGCTGTCAGCTCTCACTGCCATGAGAACAGTTGAAAGGATCCTTGTTTAGATTTGCTCCTTCTTTGAGCAATATTTTGGTACAAAGAATCTTGTTATTAGAAACAGCACAACAAAGTGCAGTCTCCCTTCTGTCACCATAAGTATTTGAAGTTATGTGCTCAGACAAGAGAATGTTAACATCCAAACTATTTTCAATTACAAGCTCTAGACACTGGCCATCTACAGCAGAGTGAATAGTGCTTGACCCACTATTCTGGATTAAAGTTTGGGATGTGACTGCAATGAGATATTTCCTGCTCCTAAAAAACAGTGAACAAAACTAGGCAGGAGTAACTTCCTTGCAGGAAGAAAATAACCCTCATCCATCTATGTTCTTAGTTACCACCTAAACATTTTACAAAAGATCAAAACACAGAAACACCGGTTTTGAACACTGTCAAATAAGATATTGTGTTTAAGTTCTTTCAGTGGTTTTCACTTAATTCTAAGATGCATGTTTTGCATTTTCCTTTGTTTATACTAAAAATAAAAGTTAATTAAATCTAATCTAACACAGGTACTTCTGAAATAGAAATGTATACAAATATATGTTTGCAAGTTTACTACAGCCATCTTTGACGTGACTTTGTGCCGCACTGTTTCTTAGAGAAAATATAAATTCCAAGCTCATACTCACAGGCAATTCCCCTCACAAGCCACTTTGTGTATGGGAAGCAGTCCTGCTTCACCAGGCACATTGCAACTTCCTCCATTTTTCAAAAGCAGAGCTGTGCAGTCTAGAATACGTCCTTCAGCTGCTTGAGACAATACTGATGCAGGATCATCTGCTAAGGCCTTGACTTCTCCACCTCAAAGAAGGATACAGAACCTATATTCATATCCAAAGTGATTTCTAGAGCATCATAGAAACAAACCCAGAGTACTCTCCTCCCTATTTTCAGATATATTTAAGTTAAAACTTTACTAAAGCACGAAATATTTTTTTGTGGCAAATATAAAACTCGAAAGCAAAATAAGAGGTGTACAGACACAAGTTCAAGTACCTACCTGAATGGGCTCTGCTTTGAGTGTAAGCATTACAACTGTGGACTTTCAAACTGGCATATTTCAAAACTACTTCATTAATTAATACCCTACATGGATGGAAAGATAGGCAGGAGGGATGGACGGAGTGGAGTAAAGAGAAACACAGAAGGGCAAGAAGAGCACACATCTCTCCTTGACTGAAATGGTACTCAATACGAGCTCAAAACCATCTCAGTTTGAAGGCAAAAGCCACTTTGAGAATCCAGAAGGAGATACATCACAAGGAAAGCAAAAATTAAAATCACATAATATTCAAATATGGTCCTTTTAAAGTTGCAGTTGCAAACACTGCAGTGTCCCGAGAAAATTCCACTTGTGACTTTCTTTCTCACCTGATAGCTCAAATCCTGTTGTGTACTCTGTGATTGTTGTCAACCAAAGTACAGTTGACATCTACCATATTTAAAGGGCATATTCTGTTGTTTTGAGGTTCCACGGTTTTCATGGATAACTCTCTTGCAAATTATTTACATATACAATACTGATGCTGAGTAAGAGTCTTATTTTTCTGAAAAGAAGGAATTCCTGTTTGCAATAGCAGATCACTCACTGGTGGGGCAGCTGAAGGAGATCATCACCATAGCGTTAGCAAATTTAACTTTTGTGAATGTCCCACTATATAAGAAGGTTTACAAGAGGCAACAGTCTTCATAATTATCCACAACTTCTTTGAAGTACAGCATGAGCAAATATACCTGGAAGCCCAGATCATTCCAGCAGATCTTCTTCAGCATGTACCTTTCTACTTCAGAGACCTCTCATCAGAGTTTTAAAATTAAAAAGAGTAACTACATCATGTGCATCATCTATTAAGTGTTAAGTGGCCAATCCTCTATTTCACTAAAACTAGGATTGAAATATATGATGCACAACAATATCCACATTTTCAGTGCTAAGTGACAGGAAAAAATAAAAAGCATCACATAAACAATACATTGATGACAGACCTCATTTCATAGAAAAATATTTAGGAAAATAAATTGTTGTTATAAGGGGAAAGACCTTTTTCATCAGCTCTGGTTAAATCTTTGCAGGATCTATTAAAAGTAATTGCTGAATGTAGCTTCACAGACTTAAAATTGAAAAGAACTGACAGTAAGACATTTCTGAAAAACACCTTATACATGCCTCAGGGCCTTAAAAAATACAGTATTTGCATCTGGTGAAAGTTAATAAAAAGTCAGATAAATTAATATGTCAGTACTGATAATTGCATTATATATTATATTCTCATATTAATTTCACAGATTTATTCTCTTCAGAATCATGAAGATATTTTGACATTTAACAGAAACTGGAAGCTAATATAGCTAAATTACTCATATATAGTAAAACTCATTTAAGTCTACCAATAGCATTAAATCTTCCTAAGGAATCATCTTTCTTTAGAGTGGGGTATTTCAGTGCAGTTGAAACTTGTTTTCAGCACAAGAGAGGAGGTTTTTGAAAATACCTGCCTACTCCTCAAGAAACCATCTGATAAAACCAAAAATCTCCACTACCTCCAGATCTCCAGAAAAAGTACATTCCAGTTAAAACAATGGACTGTTCTTGTCATTTTACTTCTACCCTAAGATGGTTGAACAGGACCAGGCTGGTAAAGATAGCACCTGATTGTACAGAGAAGGCATCTTGAGTAAAAAAATTTGTCCCCTTTTCCTAGAAAGAACTCAGCATTCACCTAAAACATGAGGAGCATCTTAAAGATCATCTCAGTGATCACCTGAAGCTGATGAGTGCTGAACAGAATGCTGGGTGTTCACCAGGTGTTGGGCATTTAGTTTCATCTAAAATAATGACCAGCAGCTAAACCACTCAAGCCAATAGGAATGCTGGAGGGAGTTGAACAGAGAAGCACGGCTATAGTCATGTTGCTTAAATCCAGAGGGAGAAGTTACCAATAAGAAGTGGAGTTTCTCTTTGTAATTAATGGTATTGGGATAAACACCCTTTTCCAAGATCATTTGCCCATCTTCCACAAAGCTAGCAAAGTTAATGCTGTTTTCCATTGCATGTTTTGTATTTCCGTGTTGATTCATAAGAAAGTGAAAAAAGATAAAACAAAATAAAGCACAAGGATGTTAGTACATACACATGTATCAGGAATCCTTAAATGCTAAGTTTTTATGAGAAGTATTGGTAATTATGCTAACCCAACCAGTACTGCCAAACACACTAAATATCCAATGGTAATTTTTGCTTTGTCTGTAAGCTTCTGAACAAAATGTTAAAAATGATCCAACTTATTTACTGGTGTAAATTGATGCAACTTTTCCAAAACTAGAAAATTTGCCCGAATATTTAAATAACATAAGCAAGATGCTCCATTACTTCTTTTAGTTAACAGTTTTAGCCTGTTCATGTCTTTATCGCTCAATGTTTCTTTGCTGCTCCCCTTATCTTATGGGATATTTTAATCTTTCTTGTCATCTAAAGTGACTTCAAACACTTGTGGAATTGGCCGTCCTGCAACCTTGTGCAGTGGAAACCACTCTCTTTCATCAGTTTCCTTCAGACCATATGCAGGTTCACAAGTTCTTGGAGCCCAGATACATGACCTTAGAAACTTGAACAGATAAATGTGATGCAGTTGAAAAAATAATACGCAAAAAGCTCAGATTTGCAAAGGGACAACTTTATTTTATTTTAGGGTGGGTTTTTTTTGTTTGTTGGGGTTTGTTTGTTGTGGGGTTTTTTGTTGTTTTGTTTGTTTGTTGGTTGGTTGGTTTTTGTTTGTTTGTTTGGTTGGTTTTTTGTTTTCACCCCAGGACACTGAGCTTCATGGATGTTACAATTCTCCTATTGTTCTCACCAGGTGATACAATAAAATGGTCTTATCTCATGTCATTAATTATCTCTTTTAATGGTCCTCAATATGTTAACCCCCCCCCAAACAAAACACAAACATTCACAAATATTGTTTTATCTTTATAGTGCCAAAGCACTGTCCAGTAAGGAAGACAAAGGACTTTGGACTCTCTGCTCTACTGCAGTTGTGAAGTTTAATGGACATTCACACAAGTTTGGTACACAAGGTCAGGCCATGGTCAAGCTATGCTAGCTATTATTTTCAAGGTGTGAGAGTCATGGAAATGCTCACTGGATTAGTAACAGAGTATGTCAAACCTTTTAACTATAGTCATCAACTTAAATTCAATCTGCTCATATCACCAACTGTAACTGTGGCTTATGTTCACTATGCTTTTTCCTCATGATATCACATCAAACAACCATCCTATTAGTAAATTCTCATTATAACTGGAAGGTCAGGAATGTTGCTCTTTACAATATCTTCTAGGTTTTTGAACTGTAAAATGTAGTCTTTATATGGTGTAAAACACAGAAATAAAAAAGCTTTAAGTTAATATATGCTGTAGCTACCTAGGTTTTCCCAAATGAGCCTTGAGTTTTGATAGTTTCTCTGTTTGATTCAATCTTAGTAGCTTAACACATTAGTCCTGTTCAATATTTTTATTTTTTTTTTAATTTTTAAACTACTACTCCCACAGTGCAGTCATGTGCTCTTTCTACCAGACTGAACACTTATCTTCAAAATGTTGCACAAATATTACACAATTATAGTAAGTTCCTGTAGTATGATCATGGTTCTAGTCACCCTGCAAATAGAAGAGGAACACTGGAAATACTATTTGGAAGAAATCTTCTGAGACTTATTTTCAAGGGGAAGTGTTAATCAAATTTCTCTTCAGACTAGTTTCTGCATTGCTCTTGTAAGCAGTAAGTCACCCAAAGTACCATAGCCAATATTATAATCCCATCCACAAATACCTTAGTACTTAGTATATTATGATAAAGCTTGAAAATCAAAATTAAATTAGTAAGGGCTTACATTCAGATTGACTGCGAAACTAAAGGTCTCTCGGATTCAGATTCCCATATAATACACTTTTTCACCTCTTTCAATGTGTACTGGAATCATGGGTTGGATTTTTAACTGCAAGGAAAGAAATCTGAAAGAAGATGTTAAAAATCTCAAGTTCAATCCCATTTTCTCTGACAGAGAAAATACACAACTTGGGCCTTGAGTGTCATCTCTGAACACAAAATATAGGAATCCAAGAATTAAAAAAAAGAATATTCATGAACACATTTTTATTTGGGGCTTGGAAAAACAGGCCTTTATGCTGTTCATATAGGAGAAGCTTTTCTGAAGGTTCTCTGTCCCTTCCCATTGTGTCCATAGTCAAGCTTTCAGCATAATAGGCCAAAAGAAGATTTAACATGTAAGTTAGACTGATGACTTCTCATCACAATGTGGACACAAGTACCGCTCTCCCTCATCTCCTGTGAGCAATGCACTCCATTGACAGGTAGGAGAATTTTGAGGCAAGGTTCTTTTATGCATTTTTCCTCTCATTTTCATGAACACTACTCAAATTCTGATGGCACCTTAAAACTTCCATCATTTAACTCAAAAATACACCCTTGTTATGAACACTCACAAACCTTTTAGAGAGCAAAGATAAAATCTCTCCTGGACTAGCAATTTCAGAAGTATACGTCAATGAACATAACTACAACCTCAGCCTGCCATCAGCTAAAAAGAAAGTACATTTTAGAGTATATTAGTATCTTGTTGACAGCTAAGAGGTGCTCCTAATGAAAGTGAAAGTTAATTTATGTAAGATAATTAAGGAAAAATATGCAACATACAAAATCTCAGCTCCTCCGCAACTGCTTGAAGACAAAATTACCTTGCCTTTTTTCACATCTTTCATTTTGAAAACCCTCCATTTGAAGATTTCATGCCATTTTTTTAATGAATCAAGATCACCCTATTGGAGCCACATGGATGGACCTGCCCTGCCAGTCTTACTGAAGTTGCTGTCCTTAGGAGAGTTGAGAATTATTATATTCCAGCCCTTCATATATTTACCCCAGAGCCAGTCTGAAAAGGCTCCTGAAGATTTACATAGGCCTTAGATCAGAACCTCACGCTGCAAACTCTCTGAAAAAAAAGTCAGTTTAATTTATTGCAAAATCTTTTTAACAATGTTCACATATGGTCTATTTCTGCCAGATGATCAATACACTCCCAACATCAGCATTTCCAGGAAGAGTTAAGAACACTAAGCAAGATACATTTTTTAGTAATAAAATCCTTTTATTTTCATTAGCATGTATTTCCTTTCTACCACCCTTTTCTCTCCAAAAGATCAGAGGAATAAATCAGTTTAGAGGCCATGACAGAAAATTTCTCTGATTATGCAGTTTCCGTACCCAAAACTTTCTGCTTTGCTATACTCCTCTCAGTGATTTTGCCACAGGCAAATCATAAAGCTCTTGAACACAAACTTAACCAGAAAGGTCTCAGATGAGCAGTGTTTCAGGATTGCTGTGTGTACTATTTTCAAATTACCCCACAAAAATTCATATATTGTGAAATGAGAAAGTTGGTAAGGTAGCAAGTAACTGTGACAGGGTAGAGTTAAGTATAAGGCAAAGAGCTCCCCACAGCACAAGCGCTGGACACGCTGCCAAGGGTCTACACGCGCTTCAAGAGCCTGATTTGCTATATCACTGCTGGCAATACACTGTGCTGGGCTGACAGGGTCTGACCAAAGCCTGGATGTTCCACAGGGATCACAGGGGAACAGAACAGCATGGCTGATACACTGCGCAGAACAGAAACATCGCTGCTACATTACGTGATGTGGCAATGAAAAGGCTAAAAAGCTCAGCAGGAAAATCTTCTTCCATTCACCCTTGGCAGTTTCTCAATCGCCAGACCCACACACAGATCACTGGAAACAATTGTAAACCCTTACTCTAAATGAGTTTTAGTTTTTTATATTACAAAGAATATTTTCCTTAAACAACATTTCGAGTAGCCTGATATATTTTTATATTCATACCTGAAAAACTATATATTCCTTCATTATGTTTAATTTAGGAAAACTTTCTTCTCTCTAACTTACCGATTTTTTATTAGAAAAAAAAAAATTAACTACTCGCTAATCATAGAAGTTGCATCTTTCCTTGGAAAGAAGAATATCAAGCATTTATTGCTTTTAAACACATAAAGTTATGTGGAAATTAATGTTATTCTAATTTCTTATCCTTAAAATAAAATAGAAAATCTCAGCTTTACTCTATAAATAGAAGGCCCTTAGGCATGCACAGAGGTAATTCATAGCAATAAAATAATTACTAGCAATCTAAATTTGGACTCAGTCGCTTAAGTATTAACGTATTTTTAAACTATTTCTCTGTAAGTCTAATTGGTGAGCATACCACAGTCTCACCATTTCAACCCATTATCTTGCCAGAGTTACTCTGGGCCCTGAATTTTGAACAGCCAGGAATGGTGCCCTGCAAGCTGAGGCGTCCTGTGATGCTTCTAAAATTAAATACGCAGTTGCTAGATAAATTAAGGTCTGACCTTGTACAACTGTAACATAAGCAGTCTCGACCCTCAGGAAAGTATTACACATGACTTCTCTAAAATCTCATCAAATGTAACACGAGGTCTGGGGACATAGGATTATCTGTGCCCCCATTGGTTAAACAACTCCCATTAAGAAAATTAATTATTTGCCAATTATTCTCAAGCACTATGTTAACAACATATGGGAGCATATTTACATAAATCACAACAAATTTGAGAAGGTTTAGCCTTTAGCTAGTTGCAGATCCCACCATCTTACATCACCAAATACTAATCTCTCTCTCTGAGGCTGACATGATGGAAAGCTTTATAGATTCAATGACAGACAGTTACAATATTTATTTAACTAGTTTAATAATTTGAAGCTGGACAAAGAGGCAGGAGGCATGGTACCACAGACAGCAGTGATGAAAATACAGAATAACCCAAGTGTAAGATCAAGAACAGCAGTACTCAACAACCTAAACCCACGCATGGGATGAAGAAGAAACTGGAAACATCGCTGATTCAAAACTTTTGTGCTGTTCTGGTTTTAACCAATTAGTTACCATTTTCACCACAAGGAACAGACAAAAAGGGTACACAACAAACTGAAAACCCCTCCAAACTCCAACTTGCCTTTAATTGTTCTTATGAAATGAAATGTTACCATGAACTCCTCCATGACTTTTGACTCACTTGCTTTTATAGAACCCAAAAGTGTAAGCTTAACTAAGGCACTACATGCATTTCAATCTTTGAACATGAGAGCAATAAAAACATTTAATGATGATAAATAATGTTCACTGCAACTTCTTTGGCCAGTATGACCTAAATAAAGGTGACACTCTGCTAAAAAAACCCAGTATAACAGAAGCAGAGAGAAACAATGCTGAGATTCTGCTCTACTGCTGTCTACAAGATTATACGAAGAGATATATTCTTACCTAATCAAAAAATGAAAAATATGTATTTATAATACATATAAAGAGCACAAATGTTGTAATTATTTACTTTCAGTTCTTTCATTTCCTTTACATAATCAGGACACCATCAGAAATAGTACATATCCACATTACAAACATGGGCTTGTTTTGATTTTCAGATATTTTTAATAATATTATGCATTGTGAATGAAGTGCCTGATTCCACTCTTACATAATTATTAGATATAAATCCATTAATTATGTTTCATGCAGAATAAATAAGACTTTTGCACAGATACCAATTCACATGGCAATTTGAGATACAATACCATGAGATAAACTCATTGGTGAGACAAACATGGGACAAGAGCTATAGCAAAGCCTTCTTAGGTTACCTACATACTGAATGTTAACACATAGGATAATATTCCTAACAGAATCCCCACTGTAAAACAGATAATAAATAAACTGTGAAATGCTATGTGGGTGGTTTGGGGTTTTTTTGTTTGTTTATTTTCAAAGTCAGGTTCTTGTTGACTGCACGCTGATAATACCTCATACATTTCAGCTTTGTTATATTTTAAAGTAAGCCATGTATTGAAACAAGATTTGACCAGTTTGGAGAATTTCCCACAGTACTTCTCTGAGATTGATTTCATGAACATTTTAGTCAACAAGGCCTACTGGTTTTCACCTTCGTTAGGATGTGGCAAGGACTCCTGCGTGCCTAGGCTGTCTAAACAGTCACTCAAAACTACTGTTGGAAGGATGCTGTGTTAAAAGATCACTAGGCGCAGAAACACTTATGCTCTGGTGTCTTAGTGTGATGAGGAGATCGTTTGGTTGGACCATCAGAGAGAAGGGGAAAGTACAGGGCTGATCCAATTAAAAAAAGGCAGGAACTTTTAAAGACTGGTATTTTGGAAAGAGAAAGAATTTCAGTACCTTGGAAAGAAACTCCAACTCTTTCCCATGCAATAGGAAAGAACCCAGGCATGGGGAAACACAAACTTTGAATACCGCTATGAACTGTATTAACCACTCTGCTTTAGTGGATTGTAGATTTAGTGATTTGCAGATTGGTGGAAGTGCATGTTTTATCAAAGGACTGGCTTCCAGGGAGAACTCAGAGATATTCTGAAACCGTTTGTGGAGCTTGCTTACCAGGTATGGAAAAGAGGAGCTCCAGAGCACGGCAAAGGAATTAGAAAGAAACATTTGTCCAGAATAACATACAAACTTACAATATAATTACTATAAAGTATTACTAAATTCAGCCTTTAAGTTAGCAACTAAGCCTAAGACTTAATAGAGAGACAACTGGATCTTCAAATGAACATCATGTTCCCCTCTACCAGTAATTTAAACTGCCTTTTCATTGCTCTTTTGTCCTATTGTCTCTATCTCAAGGTCCTTAATGAAGTCCCCTATTTTCTGTCTAGGTCTGTTTTAGGGCGTTTTTTGCTTTACGAAGCGATCCCACCACGCAGCACACGGCGCTACCAGCGCCGGCCGCTCCCCACAGCGCCCTCTGGCGCACGCGCACTGGCGCCGCCCCGCCAGCCGGGGCCGCTGCGGCGCATGCGCAGCCCGGCGCCCTTCGCTGCGTCCTCTGAGGGCGCCGCCAGCGCGGCCATGGCGGGGGCGGTGAGGAAGGTGAGGTGCCGCGGGGCTTTGGGCCGCGTCCTGCTTCTTCGCGGGGCTGTCCTTCCTGGGGGGAGGGCAGAGAGTACCCGAGCCGCGGGGTGAGAGCGAGCCGGCACCCTGCAAGGGAGAGGCCGAGTGCAGCGCAGGGCCCAGGTGACCTCCCCGACAGCCGGGGACGGCGGGCCCGCGGTGCAGGGCGGCTGGAGCCGGGGGCACCGGAGCTGGCCCGGCAGCCACAGCATCGCCAGCCGGTCGGAAGAGGCGATCGTCCCGCTCTGCTCTGCACTGAGGCGACCTCACCTTCAGTGTTGTGTGCGTTTTTGGTCACCGCGGCCTGAGCTATTGTAGAGCATCCAAAGGAGAGCAACGGAGATAGTGAAAGGCCTGTAGGGGAAGCCGTATGAGGAGCGGCTGAGGTCATTGCTCTGTTGAGCCTGGAGAAGAGGAGGCTGACGGGGGACCTCGTTGTAGTTACAGCTTTCTCGTGTGGGGAAGAGGAGGGACAGACAGTGATGTCTATGGTGACCAGTGACATAATCCGTAGGAATGGCCTGAAGTTCTGTCAGGGAGGTTTAGGTTGGATGTTAGAAAAAGATTCTTCCCCCAGAGGGTGGTTGGGCACTGAACAGGCTCCACAGGGCAGTGGTCACAGCACCAGCCTGACAGAATTCAAGAAACGTTTGGACGATGCTCTCAGGCACAGGGTGTGACTGTAGGGGATGCTGCTGTGCAGGGCAGGAGTTGGACTGGATGATCCTTGTGAGTTCCTTCCAGCTCGGGATATTCTGTGATTCTGATTCTGGTAAGGTGATCTGCTCCCTCTAGGAGCACTGGAACTCTGGGATAACGGGCATATAGCAGGAGGCAGAGCTGGTGTTATGGAATGGTCCCTGTCAGGTGTATATTGAATCAAAACAAAATAATTAGTGTGGAAATGGATGCTTAGCTGTGTTAAGTATGTTTATGCTCTCTCTGCAGACCACTGGACTTGTAGGATTGGCTGTAGCTGAGAACCCTCATGAGGTATGTCACACATCTCATTCTGTAGTAATGGAAACTCAGTGAGATATAAGGTTTTTGTGATGTGTTTGCATGTGTAGGTATGCGGTGTATCATAATCTCATGCCATCTTAATGAAACAATTAAAATTATCCACAGTGTTAAAGGTTTAATGCATGTCATTATAGGTTATTTTACACGTGTACTTTTTGTGGCATGCATTGATTTCAAAAACCTCTCTGGTGTAAGTATCTTTATGAATCAATATTTGGTTTCTTTTATCAGTAATGCCAAAACAAAGAACTCTTTAAATTCAGTTTTTCATAAATATAAAAAGATTTTTGCTGCTTTGCTGCGTACCCAAGTATTGAAATAACTTATACTAAAGGAATACTCTAGTGTTAGATGATAGAGACTAGCCATGTGGTGCAAAGCCACACCACGGCCCTGTGATGGCAAACAGTGCTGAGATTGGCATACTTCAGTGGTACTCGGAAGTTGCATTAGGTGCTTCTCATAGCAATACGTGTCTTTCTTTTTACCTCCTCCAGCTCAGTAGTGTAAGTATGTTTGTCACATCATGCTTATTTGGGAGGCATTAAAGAACTTTGAAATTTGAAAGAACTTCAGTAATTTTTTTAAGTTCTCTACTTTGAAATTTCTTACTATAGAACAGTTCTATTTCAAAAATGTTTTTGACTCCAATACTTAAGAATGCTGTCAAAAAGAACCCTTGAAAAAATCACTACTGTTCGGTAGAAATTATTCTAGCTCATTCTACAGCCTTGTCGGACACCTCCTGACAAGAAGGTGTAATTTAGTTTTTTCAGCAAATTAAAGTTAAGAGTAAAGTACTGGACAGTGTTTTAGTTGAAGTTCAGATTCTTTGCAAATCTTCTTTTTGTTTCCTGGTTTTTTTTCCTTGTCTGATAGATACAATTACCCAGTACAAAAGTGTCAATTTCTTCACCACAATGTGTCCATTATCTCTGCGTTTAAATCCAGCGATAAAAGTTTCAGGTTTAATTTAAATCTATTTGTTACTCAGAACTTTGCACCAGCATGAGAAAAAGTGATGAAAAAGCTTCCATTATAACCTCTTTATATCTTCCTCAGGTAATTTTTCAGTATCTGATGGGTTAGACATGAATTTGCCTTTTCTTTCATTTTTTTAAGAGCACTTTACAGCCTTTACTGGTTTTTTTTTTACATTTTGCATCAAGTGTGTTCAGACTGCAACATTGTTTTTTGTAGCGAATCTTACACTTCTGGATTGAATACCATAGTTTGTGTATAGATAGTGGCTTAGTAGGTTTAGTAGGACAAGAAGTTAAATAATTGTACTTGCGTATTTTAACCATGTCTTGTGTCTTTAGCGTCTGCGAATAGTGTACACAAAAATCCTTGGTGTCCTGCAAAACATTCCCAAAGATGCAGCTTATAGGAAATACACCGAGCAGATTGTAAATGAACGATTTGATTTGGTGAAAAAGGTAAGTAGAGTGCTATTTCATTCATGCTGCAGATAAAAACATTTCATAGGATGAGAAGAGTGAATTTTTGACTACCTGGCTGTTTCTCAGGTGCACATGTAACTTTCAGGTATCAATTCAGGTAACAATTGAAGTACTGAGGATTATTTTTGTTACTGACTGGGATATTTTGATGGCATATGAAAAGAGATTGTTTATTTCCTGCTTATGTTCTGTGAAAATTTGAAGCAAACATAGTTGTTTTTTTTTTTTTCAAAGATTCGTAGGAAAGTGGTCATTTTCACACACTTGCACAGAAAAATATATGTGCTCTTGCCAGTGTAGTATCTTAGCACAATCCTTGCCTTCAATATTTAAAACCACCTTTTGTTGAATTAAACTGTGCAATGCTGGTATTCTTTATTTAAGGTGTTAATTGAAAGCTCGCATATAATTCTAGAAAAATCTAAGAACAAGATTTTTTTCCAAGATAAAAACTAAAGCCCTTATCTGCTAATACTTCTTTGGATTCATTAAATAGCATTCATTCTTTGTATTTATCATTGAGGGTTTGATGTTTGCTTTTCAGTAACAAATAAGTGTGAGATTTCCCTGACAATGTTATAAGCCATCTAATTTGATAATAGTTTTGAGAAAGACTGGAGTGTGATCTGGTTAAATTATTGTTTTCATGCTTTTTATGGGCTTTCTACTTCTCACTAAGATGTTGTATTATATGTATTTGAACACACAGGAGACTGATGTGCAAAAACTACAGGAAAAACTGAATAGTGGTCAGATAGAAGAAGTCATTGTACAGGTAAAGAGGGGAAATTTGAGATGTAGTACCAATGTAGCACTTTTTTAGTTGTCCTTTGGCTGAGCTTTTGTTTTGAAAACTGGAAGTTTTGTATATCTTCCTTTGCTGTAGAACAGTCAAACAGAAAAAAAAAAGCCCTGAAAACAAATTGTCATGTAGTGATGGGATGGCTTTGCTAAAACCCAACACATTAACAAATGTTTCTTGCATTATGCTTACAGATATGTATGTATACCTACATTGCTTCTTACAGAGTCTAAATCAGTGAAAAGGGCAGAAGAGGATTGAATAATATTGGGGGTAATCTAAACTGAGTGGAAAATATCATGAAGTTGTCATTGGGAATGTCTGTTTGGGTATTTGGGGGGTGATATGATTTTCTTAAAAAAAAACCCCAAATACAGTTCCTTTGATATTTATAGGTGAAATTTGTGGTAGTCTGTGATCATGATAGATAGTGACATCACTGAGGTAATTAACTGAAATAGAAGTAATATTTTGGCAACTGTATAGAATTTAAGTCTTTATGTATGGTGTTTATTAACAGGCTGAAAATGAACTGTTCCTGGCAAGAAAAATGATGCAGTGGAAACCATGGGAGCCTCTAGTTGAAGAACCTCCTTCTGACCAGTGGAGATGGCCAATATAATTTTCAAAGTGATGTAACCTTTTGAAAGTAAAAAGAAAAAAAAATTATTAATCTATTGTTATTGTCAGTTGTCTTTAAATTAAAGATAATCACTTAATTAAAATATATTTTGTCCATTTATATTTAGTAATCTATACACTGCTGCCAGTCTCTTGCAAAAATGGTTTTAAGAAAATTCTTTCTAGCATTCCTACAATCTTTTGTTTCTTTAATTTTTTTATATTTTATATTAACAGGGTGTTTGTGCCTTACGCTGAGTTATTTTTTTATAACCTGTATTTGTATGTTGAAAATACAGGCATTACAGGCCACTTGAAGTCAAAATCCAAGTTGTAGAAAAGTATGATGATCTTGTTGCACCTTTGGTTGTGTATTTTTGCTACCCCCTGACACGGTCGTAATGGCCATGCAGATACTGCAATGAGAGATCTAATGCTTCCAAAAAGGAACAGGTTTTTAGGTTTCAGCTGAATCCCTGTCCTAAACTGGCTGACCTTGCTACCCACAAAACTAAATACTATTTCTGGCTTGCTTTTCACTGGGAAGATTGGAGAAGTGAGGGGGAGAAAGACGACTGCTACTCAAATTGATGGCAGCAACAGGTTTCTTGTTAACAGGTAGGTTATTGTACTTAGCATAACCCCTGTGGCACAAACCTTAGTATTGGTATCTTACAAAGTCTTTGTGTAGACTTGCATTGGTGTAATATTGATTGACATCTTGAGTGTTAAGTGTTGCAGTAAATGGGGTCATGTCAGGCTGGCTGCTGTTCACCAGCAGGGTCCCACAGGGCTCCATCTTAGGCCCAGTGCTCTTCAGTATCTTCATTAACGACTTAGATGCAGGACAGAAGGGATACTGAGTAAATTTGTTGATGTCACTACTTTGGGAGGAGCTCTTGGCTCCCTCGAAGGCAGAGAGGCCTTGCAGAGAGACCTTAATGGATTACAGAGATAGACTATCACCATATGAAGTTAAAGAGAGACAAGTGCTGGTTTCTGCACCTGGGATGGGACAACCCTGGATGTACAGACAGATTGAGGAATGAGATACTGGAAAGCAGCACCACAGAAAGGGACCTGGGGGTCCTGGTGAGTGGCAGGTTGAACCTGAGTCAGCAGTGTCCTGGCAGCCAGGAGGGCCAGCTCTGTCCTGAGGTGCATCAGGCACAGCATGGCCAGATGGGCAAGGGAGGGGATTGTGCCACTCTGCTCTGGGCTGGGTCGGCCTCACCTCAAGTGCTGGGAGCAGTTCTGGGTGCCACAAGAAATAAGAGCTTTTAGACAATGTCCAAAGGAGGGCAAGGAAGATGAGGGGCAGCCATGTGAGGAGTGGGTGAGGTGAGTTGCCTGTTCAGTCTGGAGCATAGGAGACTGAGAGGAGACCTCATTGTGGTGGTCTTCAGCGTTCTCCCAAGGGGAAGTGGAAGAGCAGGGACTCATCTCTGGTGACCAGTGATGGGACCCAAGGGAACAGCATGAAGCTGTATCACGAGGGGTCTAGGTGTGCTATTAGGAAGTGTTTTTCAACCAGAGGGTGTTTAGCTGAGATTAGCTCAGTTGGTTAAAGCATGGGGTTAATCACACCTGTTCAGTCCCTGGATGAGCCATTAATTTAAGAGTTGGACTTGATCGTGCCTTGCAGGTCCCTTGCAACTCAATATTCTGTGATCTGGGAACTCAGGATATTTTATGATTCTTTTGAAAGCTTTTATTTAGAGATTAAATCTTTCAAATCCCAATGAAAATAGCCAAACTAGATCTAAGAGCACTGTGCAAGTTTGCCTTTACTGATTTTTTTTCAAGACAATTAGTAACATTCCTGCAAGTTTAAAGACAGGAATATAACTATATCACAAAAATCTGCAGTTTAATAAGCATTTATATATGCATTATTTACATTACACAACGTAGTTGGACATAGCTGTTTTTTCATAGTTTTTAGGCTTATAAATTTACTTGTGACATCATTATTATAAATGATGAATTACAAATTTATATTTTATGCAATGATATTGCAGGGGGGTAGGTTAGTAGAACAGAAAAACAGTATTCCCAAGGTATTCACTCCAGAAACTATTTTCCCTTCATTCTTTAGCACTGGGTTTTTTTCCCACAACTCTTTTTACTATAATTACAGAAATTTTTCGATTTTGAAAATTAAAAAAAGTGAAAAATACTTAGTTTCATTGTTTGGTTTTGAAGGATTTTTCAGTCTTGACCAAGGTAGAATCTGGTCCTTTCCTAAGTAAAACCACTAGATGGCATTCCAGAAGAGGACTTTGCTAAAGTTAACAAACACAGTTTTCACATGAGAAATATTAAGGGATTACAAACTGAATGAGAGCTAATGCTGTCACATGAGTAATGAAAATTAAGGGATTTAAGTAATAAGTATTGAGCTGACCTGAGAGGAATCAAAATAAAATAAATTTAAAAAAAAACAAAACAAGCTAAAGTCTAGTATAAATGATAGTGGTATGAAATACTGGAAGGGGGGGAGAGGAATATGTAGCAACTATTGGAGTTCTTTCTACTCTTCCAATAACTGAGCTCTCTTCCATTTGCTGAAGTCTCTTGTTATTTTCTTTACTTCTAAAGATGTATTTGTCATGTGATTTAAAACAGCTCTCCTATAAGCTCCGTAATTGTGCTCCAGGGGATAGGAGGTTTTTTCATGGCCCACTGCTGCTGAAATTTCATATATGGCCTTTTAAAACTGAGTTTCACAGATAAAGGCATACTCTCATCTTCTCCCTTTCACAAATGCACATCTGTGTCCTCCATACAGGTCCTAATTTATTCCACTTCAAACACCAGGAAATTCAATTTCATATGGTTTTCATTCTGATTTACATGTCTTTAATTTCCACTTAACAGCGTCAGTGCTCATATCACGGACTTTCCAGAGAGATCAGCACTATTAGGCACAACCCATGTCATGGGTAGGCAGTGCCACACAGCTCCCAAGTGCCGGTGTGTAGCACGAAGGCTGCCAGCATTCACACACAAGATCCTTTCTCGATATCCAACAGCTCTGGGGGTTTAGTACAACTTCTGCTACTATCTACAGCACAAGGATATAAGGTGTTTTCGTGCACTAGTGCCGCCACGGGCTGCTAAGAGCTCATCATCTCCCTGCTCAGGGTCACAGAGTAGGCATGGCGCTGGGGGTGTGCCAGCCCTGGGGCCGCTCCAGGCCGCCAGCGCGGGTTCGTGCAGGCACTGTGGGCTGGAGGGAATCAAGGGAGGTCCTCGCCCTTCCCCACTGGTTTTCTTTCCCTCTCTTCCTGACCCTTCTCGTCTCCGCTGCGTTTCCAGCCTGCACGGCCCGGCCCGGCCCGGCCCCACTCCCAGTGCGCACGCTCGTGCTCCCCGGGCGCCCGGCCCGGTTGCCGTGGCTACCGCGCCGTCGCCGGGGCGAGCAGCGCCCGCCCGGAGCGCCGCCGGGCCTGGAGGTGCCGCCGGTACGGGGGCGGGAGGCTGCGGGGGTCCCTCTGAGCCGCGGCCGCACTCCCGGCCCCGGGACGCTCCGTGCCAGCGGCCGCCCGGGCGGTTTGGCATCGCCGGGCTCCCGCCGGGAGCTGCGTCCCGGGTCCTGCGGGCTTGGTTGTGGTTTTATGTTGAGGACTATGGGTTTAGGATTCTTTCAGCCCGTGGCATTTCGGTGGCAACTCGGAAAACCGTAAAGGTGTGCTCTCTCTGGGTAACGACCCCTTGGACCATCTTGTTATATAGGTAGAGAACGAGAGGTAAAAAGAACTGTGCCGGCTACCTGCCTTCGAGTATTATGTTTGCTAAACACCAGCCCAAAGTGCTTTCTGTTTGGTGGAAGCAAGGATCTCATGCTGTTCCCAGTAGGCCTTTTGGGAATAGATACAGGAAAAGCTTTTCAGGACAGTAAGTTACCCATAATTCTGGTAGTAGAAATGTGCCAGTACGCATTTTATAATAGATTCTGTGATTTTTCTTGCAGAAAGGTTAAAAGCATGCAACTGATGCTTTAGGAAATGGAAGGTGCATCAGATGGCTTTGAAGTTGTTACATCAGAAGGGTCAGGTGCAGAGCAATCACCTGCATCCTCACAAGGAAAAGCAGTCAGAAAGACTGGGGACCTAGCAGAGAAATCTCTACTTCCAGAACCTGCAGGCACTGCACAGTCAGAGAACAGCTGGGACCAGCAGTCTCCTCAAAATTCAGTACTACCAAAGAATACAGCAAATGGGACAGAGACAGGTAAAGAAGTTGTTAAAATGTTGGGCATCAATGGTTTAAAGAGATCTTTTTTTCTTCAATTTGGTTATAGTTTCTTGCACCCCCACATACCCTCATTCTGTTTATGCTTGCTGGGATTTGGTCCTGCCATAACTTTTTAAATTCTCATATGAAACATACTCCAAAGGAATGTATTCTTCATCTCAAACTGTAGTAGTCATTTCTAGATGTCATTTTATAGAGTGATCCTTATTTCCAGAAATGTGTATGAGTAGGTATGCATATTTTATATGTGCTTTTAAATTAACAGTTTAGCCAATATTATAGAAATCACCTTACTATTTTACCTTTCTTAAATTCCCTTGTAACTTACCTGCCACCCTTCTTTATCCTTGTCTTTCTCCTGCAGTCCCCTAAATGCTCCATTGTTTCCTACAACTGTTCTGAACATTTGGTCAGTTCCTATTCCCAATACAGGATCACATTTTCTTAGTTCTTCAGAGTGGAACAGGGCGTATCCTGTTCAGCACCTGAGTACAGTGAATAACAGTTCCTCATATGGACTTGCTCACTACTTTCCTCTTGGCTGGGTTGCATTCATCTGCTCTCATTTTGAGTAGCTGGCTAGGAATGTCTTTCTACGGTGACAGTATTACATTAGATGTCACCTTTAAAATTGTATGATAATACAATTTCAGCTTTCAAATAGACTGTCTTTCCAGTGGAAAAAATTATGATTATGCTGTGTTGGAGCGTTATAATAAAATCATCCTGGTGTAAACTTGAAAGTTATTTATTTTGAAAAACTTGTCAGGAATTTATTTTGGTTTTATTTTTAGCAAGCATGATTGAGGATAGTCAAACACTTAGGAAGACTGGGCCTATTTTTAATGAAACTGTCCAGACTGAGAATCAGAAACGTTTTTCTGGGAAAGTAATTCAACAGAATTACCACATGCCTGATGTCATAACTGTCAGAGTACAAAGAGGTAAATGCTGGTTTTGCATGTTTATCTATACATATATAATTGTGATCTAATCTAGGTGTGTTACTGAAAGAAACAATATTTATATTTTGGAGCTTTCATTTTAACAGATTCTCATTCATTTCAAGAAGTAGATGTAAAAATTGAAAGACCTACCTATAATAAACCTTTTCTGGGTGGATTTAGGAACATGTCAACAGGAGTGGAATTTCATAATGCAGGATCACAAACAAAGTCAAAAAAACGACCTGACAAAGGAATTCAGTTATTTTGTAGGGAAACACAGGTAAAGGCTTTGTAATGTCTTTTCAGAATGTTGTTTTTGCCAAATGAAATAGAATGCTGACACTATTTCTGATAGGAAAGAGGAAGTAAATCCGAGATTAATGTGCAAAGGAAAGTATTTAGTGGATAAATATCATTAGTCTTGTTATTTTTATTGCAAATAGCTAATTTTGCCACTTACTGTAATGAGAAAAAAAAAATTGTGCATTTTCCTCTAATCTGATATGTATTTCTTCCCCAGACAATTGTGGAAAAAAATAAGCAACAACAAACAAGAAATACAACATCGACACAGATGACTAAAATTGGCCTTTATGTATCAAACATGACTGACAAACTAATAACTCCTGGAAAGTATTTTACAGCAGAGGAATACCATAAACGTAGACTTGAAGCAGTAAGTCCTTATCTGTTTGAAACTATTTGTAAAATAACATATTGTGAAGGTTATCTGAATATTTAATGAATGTTCAAAGTGTTCAAAGACTGAATTCAAAAGAACTATAAAATGTCTTATGCTCATCTTTTGTCATCTTTCATCTATGGAGGAAGCATGTGTTTGCTCTGTGGTTTTAGTGACATTTGATGCCTTGCAATCTCTTACATATTAAGAATTATGAATTTGTTGTTTTCTATCTTACAATAACAGTTAAGTTTTCATGTAGAGCATTAAGGATTAAAACAAGCTTGTTCTAACAACATTTTCATGATCTCTTTGGAAGAATGTAAGCTACATGCTTAACGTATGGCCTGAAATAGATAGAGTATTGGGTTAGGATTTAGGAGATCTGCATTCAGCTTTTGAGTTTTGTGATGCCCATTTGGTTGGGTTTTTTATCCGATTTAGGAGGTTACCTTGGGCAAACTGATCCGTTTTGGATTCTGTTCATGCTCCCTGCTTCGACACTAGGGTAGAAATGGGCTGTTCAAACACAGGCAGTGGGTCTGTGGGGTTTCCTGGTGTACTGAGTTGCCTCATTAAGACAATTCAGATTACAGATTTGCCTATTCATTGTGCAGAGGATGCCATTTAGGCATTCCACACTGCTTTTTTGAAACTATATATTCCATGACCTGCACATCTAACTCAAGTATGCCCTAAATTCTGTTAGGTGAGGCACTGCTTTGTAAATGCTCTAGTTATTAATTTGATTGCTGAAAATAGATAGTCTGAATCCAACTGCATGGAGAAACAGTTGATTCCCCAAGTGTCTAAAGAGAATAATTGTATTGGTAATTGTACTGACATGGTTGGCAAGATCTTTGAAATTTTCTGGGTAGAAGTTTTCTTGTAAGAACTTCTTAAATCAATCAGCTTTAGCTGATGGCAATAAGCATCTTGTAGAAGTGGAACCAAGTAGAGAGTAGTTTCTTCAGGACTACCAATATGTTTTACTGTGGGCTTTAGTGACACTGAAATCTGTAGTGTATCCATCCATAAGGAATTAATAATGCACAATAGAGAGATGTCAACTTGGTGTTGGTTCACGTTAATGAATTTGCACAGTGCAGTATAAATCCATATGTTTGAAGATATATTCAAAAGAAGTTTTAGATTTAAATAAAGATAAGTTTTCGATTAGAATATTACGAGAGACAGTGTATTAGTATGATTTTGATAGCTTTTGATGCTGAGCAATGCTAGCTATCTCATGGTATTGATCTGACTAACGGGCTTGTAGTGCAAGTGCTAACACAGCCAGCAGAAGGTGAGGCTTGTGCAGTATGCTCCCTTAACATATTGTAGACATTTCCCAGTCTTCAATAGCCACAGCTTGGGAAGCTCAATGGTTTAATTTTATTTTTTCTTTTCTGTCATAACAGCATTAGTAATTTCACTTTTATTATTTGTTCACAAATACAACGTAGTTGATTTTGTGTCTATGTGTTGATTTTCATAACTAGAAATTTAAAAGAAATTTTGCAAATGTCTACATTTCCACTCTGTAAGTTAGTAGTAAGTTAAGGAAAAGAATAAAAACAGTACATGGCAAAAGACATTTTTAAAGGGAGATTTGTAAAACAAAAATGGATATTTAAATGTAGTTTATATTTTGATTTGATTATTTGAACCTAATTTATCCACTGTACTCATTGTTTAAATTCTTGCAGTTACCTAACTGAGTAATCATACTAGTGCTTAAACTAATAGTGCATGACTGATTTTGTAACATTTAAATTAGTTGCAGTACAAGCAAAATCTTGGATAATGTAGTTAGGGAGCTGGAGAAAAGAGCAATTAAGAAAAAAACATTATGCTAAATACTATGTTGTTTTACTTTAAAATCACAATTCTTTGGTATTGTATCACATATAGGTAATAGTATTACAGAAATATTTCCGTCGTTGGCATGCTATAAATTTAGTACAAAATCTGAAGGAACAAAAGAGGTTAAGGCTGGCACGGGAGGCACAAGAAGAATTACAGAAAAAAAGAGAGAAAGAAGAAAAATTGAGAAGGGAGTATGAGAAAAAACTGAACCCTAAAACAAAAGAAGACTTTGAGCTACTGTACCATGACTTGGAATGTAAGTTTTCTTAAAGAGATATCCTTAAAGCAACAAAATAGTACAGCTGGTTTAAAACAAACTTAGGGTTTTTACATGTTCTTATAGATACTTCCATGATGTTTTTCTGCTTTGCAGTGGAATTTGTTCCATTTGAAAATAAGTATTTTACTTTCATGTATTACTAGAAACAGAAAGAAAGCCTTGATGCTCTGTAAGCACTGTTCAGCAATAACTCAGCATCACTGTTATCAACATCCAGCACCTTAGAAGCTACTATGACTAAAAATTAACACTATCACAGCCAAAACCAGTACACCTTTGTCAGAAATAACTGGCTTGTAGAATAGTGCTATTTGGCAATTTTATTAACATTATTTATTTATGTCTAAAGGTAAGGTCAGCTAGAAGAACAAAAAGGGTTTATTCAGATCTCTTACTTTTATCCTTCACTCTACATTTAAGATGCTGAGAACAATTCTGTGAAGAAATTAGTATTAAGATCCATAATTAGTCATTTGCTATAGACTTTTTTATTATGGATTAAATTTTTGTTAAGAATTCGACAACATATGACAGAAGTTATTCCTTTTGTCTTAGTTGTCCTCTACTGATGGCTTTTTCTCCTCTCTAGTTCATTCCATGTTTCACGAAACTCTGTTGTCAAAATTTTAAAAATCTCTTAGGAGATCTGTATGACATTCTGAAAATCATACATTTCTTGTTCTTTGGAGTAGATGATGTCTAATACAGGCAAGCACCTCTCAACTTTTCAAAAAAAATTATGTGAATACTGCAGATAATTGACATAAAACCTTACAAGAATCTAATGGTGCAAATTGAACAAAAAACTTAGAGTATGTCCTTCGGAAAAATAAAAACAGTCAAAAGCTGGGTACTTGTAATGAAACAGCAAGACATACTTTGTTTTTTTACAATGTCTCTTTTAAAGCCAGAGGTTTTTGCTGTGATTCGTAACAACTCTTACATTATCGAGGCTACAGTGCTTTATGGTCTAGCTCTTTGATAGTTTGGATATTGTTGTCCCTGTAGCAGAACTGACCTTATGGATTGCCTCCTTCATTGCAAAGCCACTTACCCTACCTTAAACCACCTCTGCTCTTTCTTCAGTGGTAAACTGAGCATAAATTTGGTGGCATGTGTTATTCATAGAGCTTAGGATCACGATTCAAGAATTCCCAATTTATGCACTAATCCTTTAATGCTGTCATACTTTGTGTGGCATTGAACAAATTGCTTTGTCTGAATTAATAAATTATTTATAAATATCACAGTTCATGACAAATGTAAAAATTATTGCTAGTCTTGAACTTTGCAGTTGTTGGAATGGTATCTTAATGAGATTTGTGGTTTGTTTGGGGTTATCTAGCCCCCCTCTTTTTCTTTGTAGTTTGCTTTTCACTTCCCAAGTGTCAAGACCTTTTAAAGGTTTATCTCACTAAATAATCAAAAGCCAAGGTACTCAAATAGTACGTTTTTCTTTGCCACTTATGAGAAGTCTTACTATTTGGCATCTGATTTTCTGCAATATTTTCTTTGAGAAGGTGCTTCCAGAGTGTGTGCTGTCAGATGTGTAATCCCCCTCTTTCTTTTTTTTTTTTTTCAAGTGTGAAAAGTCTTACTTGCAGTAGAAACAACCAAGTTCAGTTAAAGTTATGGAAGAGTGCTGATCTTCATGATATTTTTAGATTTGAAATGTGTGATTATGCAAGTGCCTCTTGCTTAATTTAATGACTTTGGATTCGCAAATAACAAAACTTTCAGCCAAGCATGTTCAGGAATTTCATATCTAGGCAACCTGAAAAAGACATGTGCCACTTCAGGATAGAACAAATTCCAGTATTTAAAACTTTTAAAATATTTTGTTAAAAATAATGGTCTGGTATCAATCTCACTGTTTTGTTTTTGTTAATTGGTGTTGATTAGTTGCTTCTCTACATGGAGATTTGCAGTCATGCTCTTCATTTTAATAGAGCTTAATGATTCTAAGAAGTTGAGGGGTTTTTCCTACCTACATCTGAAACAATTTTGCATTCTTATAGTGCCAACAGTTTACACAAGCTAAATCATTGTGTCAGTAATAGAATGAGACTATTGTCCTCCAGGGATCTATGAAGGTTATTGCAGCAATCACAACAGGGTTAGTATTACAAGGTCAGCCAGTTCAAGCAATTCCTGGTGGTACAAAAGTTGCCTGTTGACAAATGACAAGTAGTGCAAATGAGATCTATCTATATATTCAGAATGTCTGCATAGGCATTTATTATTTATTTGAAAAGTATGAACTATTTTACTTTATAAACACTGGAATAAAAATTATAATGAATAAAATCTCTGCCTATAGAACAGATAATCTAAGAGGAGTGTTTTAACTTGGTTGTATTTAAATGGGGAATCAAGAGGTGAGTATCCATGGTGAGTGACAGCTTCTTCATTTCTGAAAGTATAAAATTGCTTACAGTATTTATTAGCTCCACCTTCGAAGTTGCTAGCCCCTTCAGGCATTATAAAGCTTCATGTAAATTAATTCTATATAATGCTGTTGTTTGCTGAATTGGCTTTATTTAAAATATATATCTTTGGGTTCTCAGAATTTATCAGTCAGCTGTCATATTACAGCTTGGCGAGCCTTAAGGAAATGAATTGAAATATTTAAAAATGGAAAATATAAGATAATGTAGGTAAGAAGCCACAGGCAGAAAACAAGCCTTTTTCCTTTCCCTCCTCCTGCCTCCAATGATGCCTGATCCAGGATGTTACAGACTTTTTCAGTGCATCACATATTGGATGGTTTTCTATTACACTGGGTTGTGCTTTTGCATAACTGTTCTGGGATGATAACAACACTTCGAGGTATTATTCAGGAATGTTGAAGTTTTGGATCTTATAAAATTCCCTACAAAGCTCCAGAGGTATTTGAACTGGATCGGGCTCTTAAGAGAAGCCAGGAATTTTTGCAGGATATGCAAAGGCAGTAAACAGTTTGATTTTACGAGCAGATTTCTCTAAAGCCGTGTAGTCTGTATGTCGGCAGCATAAGTGTCAGGGGGTCAGATTCTTATACGGCATGTACTGATCCATGTGCTGCTGTCATGACCATCCTGTAGCTTCTTCTGTGGCCACTTTCACCCACTTGGAGGATTATGTTGTAGAAGAGGAAAGGGAGAGTAAAGCAATGACTGTTGATTTATTAATGTATATTCATCTGCCTTGGATGGCAAAAGGTGATACCACTGCAATATCCAGTATAAGACCTGGAGTGCTAAATGTGACTGTCAGTCAAGTTTTAACTCTGTTTTGGAGGACTTCAAGCTTCTTTAGATTTTACTCATTTATGCAAGGAGAAGCAGGATTATTCTCAGCATTGAGTACTAGTGGTACCACAGTAAGATGCAGCCATTCGATCATATATTTCCACAGGTGCTAAATTCTTTTTTTCACACAGAGCTTCTTTTTCTCCTACTCATCCTTGAGTTTGGAGTACAAATTGGCAGTCTGAAACTGATATACACACACATACTCTCATAGAACATCTGTATAATTTACACTCATTTCTAAGCCATCTTGCATGTATTGAAAATAGCCATAACCATCAATTCCCTAGAATGGAAACTGGCTTTTAGTGAATATTGAAAGAAAAGTCAATTATGTTGTTTCTTAAATATGAAAGCTGAAGTTTTACTGGAAAGTATCTTGTAAAAAATACCCCAAATATTTGTATCTGCAGTATGGATGCAGGAGGAGACTGAGCGAATTAACAGAACTCTTACTGGAGCTGAAAGAAAGGCAGCACTTTGTGCACTTCTGGAAGAAGAGACACAGCTCATTGCTTGCATTGGGATGCACAAACTAGATGCCAATTTGGAGAATCAACAAAAAGCAATAATGCACTTTCTGCGTAAGGTCAGTAAACAGGCTGATCATAAAGAATACCAAAGTTTAGGAACAGAAAATACACCTGCAAAGTACAAAAAGTACGTTTCGTAGTTTTTAAGTTAATCATGTGAATGCTAATGTTTTAAATATCCAAATTATGTGGTTGTTCATGTCAATACAATTCAGTAAATTTCTTATGCCAAGCTGAGAATTTCATAGCTGTCAGGCCGATTGGAGGTTCATCAGTGCATCATTAAGGCTGTTAACTATAAAAATATAAACAATAAATATGATAAATTATAATAATATAAATATGTTATCCTTCAGGAAGTAAATTTGTCATTAATTTCCCAAATGAGGATAGGCCTCTGGTCCTCATATGTCTGTCTTTAAAAAAAGCAATTTTTCTGTTTTCCTGTATAAAGAAGAGTTTGAATCTGATGTTGAACTCAGTTATTAAATCACTAGATTTAGTTCCATTAGAATATTAACTTGAGATTTCATTCTTGTATAATCTTGGGGATGATATTTAAGGTAAGTGTTCTTCAGTCTTTATAAAAAAATATGAGAATTCTTGCATTCACAAAGATGATTAAAAATGGCATTAAATTCAATGGTATCTTAATGAAAAGTACAAAAATCTTTGTCCTTTTAGGTAGACATCCAGTGATTGGAAAAAAGTAATAAATTTTATAGCTGTTTTCAAAGTATTTGACATGATTATGAAAAGAAATACTGCAACAAAAATGATTTTTAGCTATCCAAGTTTTTTATTATTATTTTAAAATTTTGACTATTTAGTGATCAAAAGTAAAATGGTGGTTTTATCCAAAATAGACTTTTTTTCATTCTTTACATTACTGATGCAGGGGAACCGTACTCTAAATATGATTTGATAAAATTATTACATTTCTAATTATGAACAAATTTCTTATCTGAAATGCTGTTGGAACTGTTACCACATTTATTGCCGTGGTGTGATGGTTTTCTCTCTTATTGCTTCAAGAATGAAAAATCCACAGAAAGCCAAATAATTAGGAGTATTTTCAGCACCTTGAAACATTTCTATGTTTAATGTTTGCTTCTGCTACTTACAATCTAGTCTGTTACCTTCTAAGAAAGAGAAGCCTGGAACGGTCAAAGCAAATACATTTCTCTCTTAACTGACTCTGTCATTACTTTTCCCATAAGAATGGATTTTCAGTGTCCTGCCCTGTACGGGGCATATATTATATATATATAATATTATATATATATATAAGATATTATAGAAAAATATATAATATATATATTCAGCACATATTCTGACAAGCTGTACAGTTTTCTTACATCTAGAATCAGAAACAAAATGTTCTTCAGCACAAGAACTCTCAGTGACAGTTGATGTTTGAAGAATCAGGAGACACATCAGAGACAACAGATATTTTTTATTTCCAAACAGTGAACAGTTTCCTGAAGGAGTTACTAAGAATATATTTAATCCTATTTCTATGTATAAATTACATTTTTCATGAAAGAGATTGTAATCTTTTTAGTTTTAAAATCTGTTGAGCATCTGAACTAGTGCAACTTTTAATGTTTTTTTATGATGTCAGCTGTAGGATTTTTAATGTTGTTCTAAACTGTTGACATAGATATATCTAACTCAGAGGGAAGAAAAAGTAACAATTTCTGCATTTTTTAAAAAGATTAATACAATTTTGTAAATCTCAAAATTAGATGGATGGTTTGCTATGACTGTAGCAGTGCCATTTAAGCACTTTAAATTACATTATAAAATATATTTTTGAGTGCTTGATTAGGGATTATTTAGTTTTTTTCTTGAACTTTGAGCTGGTAATGTCAATCTGGACAATTGCCAGTTAAAGCTGGAATAACATCTTTCACATCTGAAGACTGCAAGCTGCAATAGCCAATGTGGTATGAAACTTGCTTCTCCATGGAAACCTTTGTTCCCTTCTTTGCTACTTTAAGCATGTACCTCCACAGGCATGTGTGGCATGAAGGCTGCTACTGGTTGTGTGTGCACTGTGTTCTAGGGTGTTCTTTATGCTGAGCTCGTTCTTCAGCATTTGTTTGGAGAGGAAGTATTTGATTAAGCTTTTATACAGCAATCATATTTACTTAAAGAAATTTGTCTAATTATTAATTGTCACTCAGGTCATACCTTTCATGCTTTGTGCTATTTCTGCACACATCCTATGGATTTTTTTTATCATACTTACCTTTTTCTCTCTGTCTGTGGTGGTGTGTTTCTCTCTTCAGGCGGTTTTTCTGCTTTCATGCATTGGCAGCAGAGTGTAGTTGTAGTAGCCTTGCTTTCTGAAGTAATACAGATAACAGGATTATTGTAAATTCCACAGCACTGCCATCAGACCAAAAGAGAAGGGAAAGCTGGCAGAAGATCTCAGTTCTTTTTATGTCAGTCTGGAGTACAGAAAAATAGTCCTGGAATCAGAGAACTTGAGATTCTTTCTTTTTTTCTGTAAAATGCTGCATTTTTATTTTTACATTTTAAAATTTTTTTATGTAATATCCAGCTATGATAAGGTAGTAAGAAAAATACACAGAAGTTACAGATACATTTTTGAAGAATTAATTATAGTAACACAATTGGTCTGTACTAAGGATCATTTGCAGAATGGGATACGAAGATTGCTTGCACATAATGGGTTTGCAAATTATCAGAAGAATATAATTTTACTATTTCCTAGGGTCTACTCTGGCCATTGATTCTTTCTAGCATAAGCAAATGACCTTTCTCTGTTACTGTAAGTGATTTCCTTGAAGACGATCAAATGTAGATAATGAATTAACTGCTACATGGAAAACACTGGTTTGTCCCAGTCTAAGATACCAAGGTTCGACAGCATGATAGACCTTCTAAGTTGGTCTGAATTTTATTGTTTGCAAATTGTTTGGGGGGGGGTTGTTTCATTTTTCGTTTTTTTAAACAATTTCTGGTATTGTACAGAGATATTGAAACAAAATGAAGATACATAAGTAGCTTACTTATGAACAGAGAAAAAATTGCCTTGCTCTAGTTTTGCAGAAATTCAAAGATTTCACCAAGTAATTAAGAGTTGGTTGTTTTGATTTATTTTTTTTTAGCTAATGTCTGGTTTTGTTATTCCATTTCTTAGTTTTGGCTCTGAAATGTGACCTCTGGTTAACAATATCTCCTTTAATTAGAGTTCTACCCCCACTGATAATATAATTAAATGTTGATCATTTGATGTTAAATCCTTTTGAAAATTATTTTGTCTTTCTTTTCTTTACCTAACTTTATTTATTTAAAAGTTAGGAAAAGTCTGTTTTGATTGTGGTGGTAACTAATCATACCTCTTCTTGCTGTCCAATATTCTTGGTATTTTTATTCCTTATCACCAATTCAATTCTATTTCATCAAAATAATAATTGTGCCAATGCTGGGGTCATGTCCAGAAAACTACTAGGCATGTAAATGCTACATGAAGTGTTGATGTTGTTAGGTCACACTGAGATTGCAAGGTGAAGCTTGTGAGTGTTAGTGAACACTTAAGTTCCAAATATAGTGAAAGAGAATAATTAAAACCCAGAAAGAGGTTTCAAATACCTCTCCCCATTAAGAAAAGGAAATGGAGTTAAGTAATGATGGGGAGAGGCTTTTGAAAACTCTTTTTCTATTGGAACTGGATACCTATGTCCTTATGTAAGAGTGTGATTTGCAACCAAAACCAGTCTTCTGGAAAGAAGAAAATGATTGTACTTTTCAGACCTCATGGGGCAGGTGACATCATGTAACTTCTTACTGTCTATAAAAGTTAAAGATGTGCAAAGAGATATGCATATAAGGCATATGGCATGTGGTTAAGTTAGCAAACAAGAAGCTGGATGAAGTGTCTGATAAACTGTAAACACATACATTTCCCACCTCTAACAAAGTATTCCTTCTGCAACTAATATAAATAGAACGTATTCCTGGAGATATTTTTTACTGCAGTAGACTTTAAGGTCCTAAATTTGCCATCTTTGCCCAGTCAACAGACCTATTGATTTTTACTGATAGTTTGAAGGGATTTATGACTGCAAAGTGAAATACAGAGCAAATGTATTCTAACACTACTGTCAGTAAATTCACTTTAAAGAAGTAGAGCATGTCCCTGTAGGAGAATATTATTTGCTTTTAATATCCTGTAAGTCGAAATTGTCATGACCTGCAGCTTTAAATAAAGTGTGCAATTGAATGTTTGCTTTGGTGGAAGAGGTTCTGTATCAATATCGACAATAGAATTAGCCTTTTGCATTAGTCAGGCGTTAATGTTAAGTCCCTGTTTGCTCTGATGAAACTGGATGTAATATAATGCAATTGTTCAGCTGGTGGTCAGATTTTAATAGCTCAGAGTTCTACAAATTGTTTCTGAAGTGTGCACAACCTAGGAGGTGGAAAGCATTTGATGGAAAAATCACTGAAATGGATACACAGAGCACTCTCCGTGGCAAAGAACTACTTGAAATCTACTGTAGCATTACCACAAAGGACATCCCAAAGGATGAGAGAATATCTGTGCTGTTAACAGTCAAATGTACAGTGAAGGTAAGGTTTAGTTTTCTATTTATGTTTAGCTTGAAGCTGTACTTTCCAAAAATGCTGTCACTTAATTATGCTGACACATAAACAATGCTGCTGCTGGCGGACAAGTGCCATGATGGTGAGCTGGCAGCTAGAGAACCTCATGTACTACCTGGTGTGTGAGTGTAATGTACATTCCAGATACACTCTAAATTAATATTTCACTTTATCATGTGCATATTTGTCTTCGGGTTCTGTTAGAATTTTAACCCTATGGTTTTAGACTTCTTTTTATATTAATACATAATACAATTTTAGTACAAAGTTTAGTTTACTACTTAATATCAATCTTAAGAGAACCATGGCAGGGATGTATGTGGTGATTACAATTTACTTTTTCTCAGTTCTTTGAAATATCTGTTTAGAGCCTTATCTACCTATTGGTTTGGATTACCAGTATTATGGATAGCAAATAAAGGTTTTTTTCTTCTTCTCGTCGCCCCTCAACTCCCTGCCCCCACTGTTGCTGCTGGTGTTCCCAATTAATTAGAAGCTGGTTGCATTTTTTTTAGTCTTTCATATTGGTTTTATTTATTTATTCTTGTACAAAAAGAATGAGTTTCAAGGTCCTTTCAGGATGGTACTCTTGACATCAGCCTAGAATAGAATGCTGCTTCCTGGTCTTATTAAAACAAACAAGCATTTTGTTGTTTGTTTTAGTAGTGCCAGTATTTGATTTAAAGTCACTATGGCATTGAGAGCACTTCTGGTTTATGAACTCTTGCCCATCGTAATACAAATCAATATTGCTGTAGTGAACAAGTGAATTTCTGTAAATTAGCACTCTCTTTTACCTGAGAAATCACTCTACTCATTCACCTCTTATGTCTCTCTCTCTGGAACATCTCCTGACAAGCATTTGAAATACTGAAGTGGCTAATTTCCAGGCACACTGTCAAAGTCCCCTATGCCTTTTGTGTGGTGGATTTTTTGGGTTTTCTTGTGGTATTTTTTTAAACCCATCCATGCTACACCTCCAGTCTCATAACCAAAGGAAGCTTCTTAGGGAAATATTTCTTTGGGCTTTTGAAAACTTAAATTTTGCTTGTTGAGTCCCTCTGCTAAACATCTTTTAGTGCTTCCAGGCTTACAGTCCCTCACAGCTTTGGTATACATATACAGGCCCTTTGAAACAGAATCTGTAAGCATTCCCACTTTTGTAATTCTACAGTTGTTTCATTGGAGATTGTTCCCCGAGATACTAATGAGTTTTTCTGTGAACATGTTCTTATATGAACACACAGAGGTATGAATGGTAATAGGCATAGAATCCATAGTTTGCTTTCATGTCTTGTTGAATGATTCTTTATTGTTGTGCAGTTTATTTCCCTTTTTCTCTCTCTCTCTTTTTTTTTTTTTCTTTCTTTTCAGGAACATGAATGTAAACTAACACAGGAATTAGTGGCATTAATTGACAGGGAAATTGATCTTATATCAAGAGAGGTGAAAGAATGCAACTTGGAAGGACTGAGGAAGAGAATTTCTACATTATTTCTTCAGTATATCAAAATTCCAGAGTTTAACTCTGAAGCTGCTGGATTACTTAAGGTATTATTCTTATTTTGCAGCCTGAGATAGTGGCCATTGAATTAAAGAGAAGGGGGATGGAAAACATTGAAAGCTTTTTTGTTTTACATTTTGCTGTAGAATTGGTGGAGGAGTTCCTCAGAGAGTGAAATGTAGCAAGTACATAGGCTTCACACAAATACATTTATATAGTCCTATTAGGAAGCATGGGGCATCGACATGGTTATGAGTACCTGACAAGTGGCTGGCAGCACTGAGAGACCCCAGGAACTCTTGTGTCTGAAATAAAAAATCTGAAAGTTTTAAATGGTAGATCTTATGGGATGGTACCAGTAAAATGTAATAGCAAAGTGGTACCAATATACTGAGAGAGGGAGCAGTGTTTTTTGTACTGGCCAAGAGGCAGCATGCCATGCGTCCAGAAAGGAAGAACATTGCCCATATCTAGTGAGCTTGCACCTAAGCAAAAACTGCTCTGGCCTTCTGTTGTAGAATCAGTTGCTGCTGTGTGTGAAGAAGATACAGTTAGTTTTGTGTGTTTTTCTTTTCTGACTACAGATTACAAATAAAAATATGATTGACTATCATATGTTGCTGCTCTAAGTAGCAATGTCTGTTTTGCATCTATCAGAAAAGTATTCCTCATGCAGTGGTACAGTTATCTCAGGAGTAGAGAATCTGTCAGATTTAGATGTAGATGTTAGATTTAGAACCAACTAACAGTTAATTTTGCACTAGGTTTATTAGCAGATGTACCATAGCAGAGACTGTGTAGTCTGATAATCTACTCAAACTATCCATTATAGACTTGGTCCCTCTGCACAGACTGCATTACATTTTTTCCAGAGCCCATGAAGGAATATGGAGATGAGGAGGTCACTATCAAGTCTAGTCTATTCTCTTCCCCTGTGTTGTTTCTGGACATGTTGGGTCTGATGATTTTGTATTCTTATGCCAAAATATCAATATGCCCATAATCTCAAGGTTTATCTTCTTCATAAAGGGCAGATTCTACATGAAAATCAAATCAAATTTAGTTTCTGTTTTCTCGTTGTTGTCATCTTTCCAGAATAACTGACAATCTGCATACATAAAAGCAGCAGGAAGAGCACTGGAACATAATGTTTAGGATCTTTATATAGCTTAAAAATGAATTGACTGATTTATATAACTGATTTTAGCAAATGCAGTAAGAAAATACAGTTACTCTTGGTATCCTATCAAAAAAAATCACAACACTTTATTGGGTATTTTAAAATAAATACTTCTACCTTTTACATGCATGAAGATATGCAAAACATATCCTGACTGTTAGAGTGGCATACAAGTAATACAACGATACCCTGTAGTAAACTAACTTTTTTTTATTTTTAGGTTCCACAAGATCCCTTAAAACTTTATAAAAGAGTTTACTTCTGTCATAGCTGTGAAAATTACTTAGCATCTACTGAGTTTCCCATTCCTGCAAATTCCCGCACCATTGGCAGATGTCGCTCGTGTTACCGGCTTGATAATGAGGCTCGGCAACGAGAAGCATATTTGAAGTATAGACTTATACTAGAAGATCTCAGAAAGTCTGAAGTTGATTATCAGGATGATAGTAAAATTGTTTTCTTAGTTCAGGTACTGTTGGAAAGAGCATTGTTACTCACAGTAAGCAGTGGCTTTGACTATGTGTCTTTCATTTTGTGTATGTTGTTGATAGGTTGAGAAATGGGGTAAAAGCTACAGCTTCTTCCTGTGATATGTGATGTTCCACACCATAAAGAAACTTAAGCTCTTGAAGTATAGGTGTACTTCTAAAGGTGGTTTGCAAGCTATACACTGAAAGAAGTCTAGCTGACAGGTCAAAGAATGTTATAACAGGTCAGATGTTGCAACAAGTATGCAAAAAGTATATATGTATATCAAGATGCTCTTTAACCAAGTGATCCTGTGACATGCATAGAAATTTATTTTTTTTTACCCAAAGCTTTATTTGGATTTTTACATGAGTGCAAGACCTGTAGAATGAAACGTGCTTCTTCCTTTTTAACCCTGTTTTTCATTTCAGCTTGCAGATATGCAGTACCTTATTGAAAACATATGGAACTGCCAGTCAGCTCTCAGTGCCTCCAGTGACCTGTATGATTTGGTTATGGTTAGGTGGGATAAGCAGCATGAGTGGTCTCCATGGAACACTATTCTCCTCACTAAAGAAGAGGCAGATGCACATCTCAAGCTGTGTAACCTTGAGAAGGTAAATTTCAGTGGAATTTATTTTTTACATTATTTATGTTATGTTTTAATAGAATCCTGTGACTAATTATGTTAGGCCAAATTTAGTCATTACACTTATCCATGTTTAAATTGGCTCATTGTGAGTATTTAAATGATTGCATCTGTACTATTGAACAAAAAGTACTCTAATCCAGAAGGCATCTAGCATGTACAGCCCATTCCATGTACCTGAACTCTGTCTTGCCCTGATTCTCCCTCCTGAAATGCAAGAAGGTGAGTGGCCTCATCCATGCTGCCTGCTGAGAACACTGCCGTGTTTATGCTCTTCCTTCAGGTCAGATGAGACAAGAGCTAGCCTGGATGAAAAGCATACTAAAGACTAAACATAAATACTGTGACATTTGTGTGCCTGTGCTCTTGCACATGCTCTGGTCTTCTAAATTTCTCATCAAATAGAAGAATGGTTCATTGTCTATAACTTACCCATTTGTCATAAAATTTGTCACTACTTTCTTACATAGATATCAGCTAAGTATCCCTTACAATGTAACCTTACAGTTTGCATTTAAGCAATAGAAGTATAATTTCTTTTCTGAATTAATACCACTTAGGACTGTGTTAAACTCATCATCAAAACTGGTTTTTTACACCAATCCTCTCAAATTCCATATCTAGATATGCCAGTCTATGACATATCTCTCCACTGATCATCATACATTAAGCGTATTTAGTTTTGTAAGGCACAGGAGAATTCTGTGAACTGTGTTTGTCCACCACTTAATAATGGCCTATTAAGCCTTTCAGTGAGCCTTTCAGTAAGTAGTGATCTGCAGTGGTTGTTGCCTAGTGTTCTTTTGTTCAGTGTGTTCTTAATTCAGTTTTTAACACAATATAGGTGCATCAGGAATGCAGCTTCAGCTGTTACATATTGCTCTTCTTTTTGGAAGTCTTAAGAGCAAACTAAACAGAGCAAATTAATTGCTCTCTTTAAAGTTTCGTTTTATGGATGAAATATATCAGGGAATTCTAAAGGCAAAAATAATTTTGACATCCATTATATTTTGTGTGTGAGTGCCCAGCTTGTGTCTTCAAGCAGACACGTTTATGTGAGCTTTAGCTTTAGTAGGTAAAATGGGTTTCAAGCTGGAAATTCCCTCATCGACTCCTCTCTCTCACTGTGAGTCAAGAAGGCTATTCAGACAATCTGAAACTAGGGATGCTCCTCAGCATCCATAAATTTCTGTTACCACATTACAGCAGGCAAAGATCCTGATTGGCACTTCTCTGGTTTGATGCCATGAGTCTGGATGTCATAGGAAAAAAATGCCATTAACTTGACTAGGTCCAGGGCTTCAGTGGACTGGGGAGTTGGTCAGAGCAGGTAAGCTGCACAAGCCTACCTAAAGACCGTGATGTATTTCCTTTAGCTCTTGCAACAAATATAGAAGTGAATCAGTTGTAGTGAGGACTCAAGTTTCTTCGTCTTCAAAAGAAAATGAAAAGAGTGTGAAATGACAAAAATGAGGCAAAGATGAAATGCTGTAGGTTGAATCATTGTTTTTCATTCACTGAAACAGAAAAGGCCTCTTAAGCCATTTATTTAATAGTAATTATTCATAGTGATTTTATTTAATAGTAATTATTCACAGTGATGACTACAGCAATAGCAAAGAGTTTTTTCAATTAAATATTCTGGTTATTTATTCCATCATCCAAACTATTACTAATAACTAGGAATTTGGGAAAATGTCATCACTGCATGCAAGTGCTGACTGAAATGCTGCAAAATACTTGCTGTCATGATTAGTTGAAAATGACGACTCTGATTCTTATAAAGGAATGCCCTGCAGTCTTCACCTGGCAAATGTTGCTATCTAAGCATTGCCTTATTTAAATTTCAGGTGTAAGTACAAATGTTCTCACCTGAAATTAAGAAATAAATAAGTTTTATCATGAATGGATAAAAAAAGATACTCTGGTTTTAAAACATGACTAATATTTTACAAGGAGAAATTTTCACTACTGGGCTATAAGATAGTACTGTAGAACTACAAAATATTTCATTACATATATATATAAATAAATGATCTGCCTTAGTTTATTAAAGGTCACTGTTTATAATGTCTAAAATATGTCCAAATGTTTATAATATCTAAAATATGAAGCAACACAGATTTTTAGATATTTTAATTGTATTTATGGGATTTGAATTTATTTTTCTTTTCAGACTTATGAAGCTCCATTTATTTCCAAAATGGAACAAAAGCATATTCGGGCAAAAAACTACTTTGCTCAGATTCCTGTGATGTCATCATTTTTGCATAGAAGTAACAATCAGGCTAATGCAAATTCCTACAAAAACCATAGTTCTTCGAAGTTAAAGAAGTGAAGTAAATTCCTAGGTTTTAAAGAAATATACCTTTTCATCAATACCCTAATTGTATTACACAGATCAAAATAAACTTCTAAGGATAAAACATTTTTATCTCAATCAATTAATTTAACTGCATTTCAAGTTTTGTAACCTCATTAAAATAAAATGTTGTTAAAGAGCTTTGTAAAATCTTAGTTTTTAGAGCAATGATTATTTTTCAGTGTATTCCTGCATTGCTTGGAACATTCTGTCTATAGTGTAATATGCGTGTTGGGCAAATTCTGTTAATTCTTTGTCACCCTTTAGAAGATTAATACTATAGCACTGCATTAAATTTCTTTTTCTTGTCTTAAGCTCATAAGGCAGAAACTCCCTCAAACCCTGGATTCTTAGAGAACAGAATATATATAGCTTTCCAGATATAGCTGCTTTTCCCTGCAAACATTTGTGCAAAAGAACAACTTTACATTTTGAAGCTCATCTAGATGGTCATAGTGGAACTGCCAGCATGTAATTATTGTATCCAAGATGTTGAAATGATTGTAATTATTATAATTTGGGTATCTAATTTAAATATCATAATTTGAAATACATATTTCAAACAGTCTGAAATTTTTTTATTTTTGAGGTGTTTGTATTATTTAAAGAAGTAAATTCTCCCCATAATTAAAGAAGTTTATGTTTTATTATAGTTGCAGGGAAAAACACAAGGTGGTGTAAATTCAAAGATCCAACAGAAGGTTGCAAGGTTCTTCTTGAAACCTCTATTATAGATGTGGTTTTGACCCAGCCTTTTGCTCTAACAGATGAAACTACCTAGGAAAAAAAAGTAGCATTTACAAAGAGAAATAAGCACATATTTGGCAGCAAACAGCTGAAAACTGAATAGAGTCCCTCAACAGAACATGAACTGTAGAACCAGTACCTGCCTGACCAGTGCATTTTAACATCAGTGGAACCTTTCCATTGATTTTACCATTAAATTCAGAATTTTAGCTTAATTAAATTCTGGATTTTAGTTTAGTACTGAACTAATTGGAGGATTGTAGCACATGAGCATTCCAGCTGACTTACGTGCTTTCTGGCATCTGAGCCTTAAGATAGGAATGGCTGCTAAGTCTGAATTTCCCTCAGAGTGATAAAAGGTGTTTTGAAGTAAATTACAGGTTGAATGGCAGAGTCACACAGATAGGAATCTGCTTTTTTATACATTTATTTCCTTCCTTCTTAAACATATTTTTAAAAAGGTGATTTACAACTCCAAAAGGATTATTTGAATAAAAAATAAGGGAGTAGTTGAAACAAATGTGAAAGGCCAGTAGTCCATTGATTTCAATGCAATGCAGTGTTGGAGGTTTCTGGAATCCTAGAATCATTTAGGTTGTGAGGACCTTTAAGACTGAGTCCAACCATTAATGTGACACTGCCAGGTTCATTAAACTGTGTCTCTAAGTTCCACATCTCCATGGCTTTTAAATGCCTCCAGGTGTGGTGACTCCACCACTCCACTGGGCAGCCTCTTCCAATGCTTGACTACCCATTCAAGTGAAGAATTTTTTCCTATTATCCAACAGAAATCTCCTCTGGTGTAGCTTGAGGCCATCTTCCCTTATCTCTCAACTCTTCATCAGCTTCACTGCCCTTCTGTGGGCATACTCCAGCACCTCAATCTCTTTCTTTAATGAGGGGCCCAAAACTGTATTCAAGGTGCAGCTTAATAGTGAACAGCATTTGAGGTGTGTGATTTGAGCTGTGCTGAGTACAGGGGGACAAGCCCTGCTCTAGATGTGCTGCCCACACTATTTCTCGTCCAGGCCAGGATGTCATCGACCACCTGAGCACACACTGGCAGATATTCAGTCATCGACCAGCATTCCCAGGTCCTTTTCCACTGGGCAGTTTTCCAGCCACCATGCTCCCAGCCAATGGAGTTGCCTGGAGTTGTGATAAAAGGGCAGGACTCAACACTTTTCCTTGTTGAACCTCATACACTTGGCCTTAGCTCATCAGTCCAGCCTGTCCAGATCCCTCTGCAGAGCCTTCCTTCCCTCTGTCAGATCAATGCTCCTGCCTAGCTTGTTGTCTACAAATGGATTGAGGGTGCCCTCGACCCCCTCATCCAGAACATTGGTAAAGACATTAATCAGGACTGGCCCCACACTGAGCCCTGGGGAACACCACAGGTGACTGTGTGCCAGCTGGATGCAAACTCCATTTGCCATCATTAGCTCTTTCCTGGCATTGCCATTTAGTCACACTGTGAAAACTTTTGTGTAAATAGTTAAAAAATTTTTGCTGAAAGTATAGCGAGATGGATTCTTGGCTATTTAAATATTTGGAACATGCTATTCCAAAAAATGTCTTCTAACTAAAGTCATCCTTCAAATCAATGTCTAAAAATGGCATTTGAAAGCATGGAAATGGAAAGTTTTAGAGGACATGTATGGAAAGTGAGCTATTGCAAGATAGGAAAAGTATTTTCAACACTTTAGATAGCCGAGTTATTTTTTAGGGCAAAGCCAAGTAAAATCAACATAATTAAAATAATATAATTTTTTAAAATGTATCATAATTGAAATTAGCATAAAATCTTTCATGTTAGTGGTCTTTAGATGCTAATTTTAATTATTATAAATTTTTTGTTGATACTGTTACCGAATTTAAAACCGATTACTTTTTTGTCACTTTTTGCCCATAGCATTTATAATTGTATTCCATTTTGAGAAGGAATGAATTCAAAATTTTCTTTAATAGTTACTGTATTGCTTTATCTGTTTATTTAGCTTATATATGATATAAAAAAGATACTGGACAAATATGAAGAATGATAATTTTCTCTGTATCAGACAGTGGCGAATACTGAGAAAGCTGAAAATATCAGTCAGAGTAAAGATACTGCATTTCTAGGAAAAGTCATTGCATTTTATCAGGAAAAGAAAACTTCAGCTAAAGCATCAGTTTCTAATAGAACTGAGTAAATTCTTCAAAAGCACAGCTGATCATCTTTGCTTTTATTTCAGAGAGTTACTCAAAAGATGTTTTTAAAATCTGTTGGTGAAAAAAGCCTTTTGGGGCATAGATCCAGGATAATGAGAATAAATGACTGCAAAGTATCAGTACCTCTTCAAAGAACAGAATGTGAGGTGAAATTCTAATGTTCATTCACTTCTGGTAAGTGGCTAAAGTGATAAGCTTTATCAAGTCTCTTAAATCATAGCTTAGAGGTTGAGATCATGAGGAATCCATACTCCTGAAACACTCCTGAAGGGCTGATGAGAAATGCTGAGATTGACTCAGTGCTTTCCCAAAGACTCTCACACCCAGGCAAAGGGGATGAGCCCATATGGCGTGTATGGTTCCTTCTGCACTAGCAGAGACAAAAGGCCAATTCACAAATTCTCTTAACTCACAGGACTCTTCTGAGCAGGAGTTTTGGAGCATGAATCAAAATTGGCCTTCTCCCCACCTCAAAGACCACTGCCAATCCATTTCCGGAGGGAAAGGCTTTACCTTTCATCCCACATGCATAAGTGATTAGTATGGTGATTTGCAAGGAAACACTTGTGTTTTGCCTTCCCACTCTCAAGAGGAAAGCCCATGCTTTTTTCAGGATGTAAATTTCCCTATTCATATCTCAAAGGAAGAAGAACTCAGAACAATTGTTTTCTCTGTCTCCTTGCCCCCAAAAGATGTCCCAATGAGCAAAATATTAGGTCTCTTTTTAGATAATCAAATGATTGTAAACAGTGATAAAGCAGGATTCTATATTAAATACATGAGGGTTGCAAAGTAGTTACTGACTCCCATTTGGCATGGAAATTACTTTTTCAACAGGAAATTATACTAATAATAACTGAGATAAAACCCCAAATCATCCACATCTTGGATTCTTTTAATTATTATTTATTTTTAAAGATCCTAAATTTAAACATGTCTATTAGCTGAACTGGGAGAAGTTCTTTAATATGCTGCTGTAGTACCATGTTAGCTCCCAAACCTGTTGCCTAAGGATGAAATTTGCATGCCAAATGGATAGGAGTTATTTTTGTCACCTATATATAGACAGTTCTCCTAGCTTATCTTGTACTGTCAGTTGTCCTTATTACAGCAGTCATCCCTGCACGTCTTGCAGGCCTAAATGTACGTTTATCATTCACACTTCTTTTTGAATCCAATTTTTTCACATCAGGAATGTAGAATTCTGAAGTTGAGAGTTTTGGTGAGGGTTTGTTTGTTTATTCGTTTAAAAAGCAGTTAATTAGCGAAAGACATTAGGGTTCCATCGTCTTGGTCTTTTCTCTCCAATTATTTTTTATGACTCCCATCTTTCAACTTCAACAGGATACAATTGTAAAAGAGAGCATGTAAAAATCCAGAGAAATGGATAGGAGTGGAATGTAGGTACAAAGTATTTAATATTATAGCTTTTCTTAATAAAATTATTGGAGTTAAGTGGGGATGCATGCTAATGGAAATATTTCCTTCTTCATTGCCATTTTATAATACTGATTTCACAGTAGTTTGATTTTCAGTATTTTGAATCTGTGTTGCATTTAAATATATTTTCATAATAAAGCTGTTCTAAACCTGGACTCAAGATCACATATGAATTTTCAAGGTAAAAGCACTGTGGAAATCAACAGTAAACTGTGTGTGCTCTTCTGTATACCGAACACCTTAATAAAAACTGGGTTTAGGTTCCTACTCACAGATAAAAAAAACACTTTGATCTTGATTAAATGAAAGAAAATAATGTTTTTGTTAAAATCTCTTTGCAATTGGTATATTTTTTTCTTATCGTTTGGCAAAAACCCAGAATTTTTAGGAGTGAAGAAAAAAAGGAGAAAATATATGCAGATATATTTGTGAGCTAAATTTACTTAGTGAAGCAAATTAAAGTCCCACTCAATAGGTTCTTCTTGTTCCTTTTTTTCAAAGCTTTCTTCACTTCAGTTGTTCCCAAACTGTGGTTTGTGGAGAAATATTAAAAAGCCAGTTTGTTTTCAGTTAAAAGTTTGTTCTAAATGATATGGTAATCTGAGAGAAAACAATCTGGTTATGTTTCAAGAAGTTTTAAGGCTGTTTCTGTAAGGCAGAATACGGAGTATACCCACCAACGGTGCATCTCACTTGTGTGTGTTGGAAGCAGACAGCAGTGAGGAGAAGGCAAAGCTCAGCGTGTGACGGTGGCACCGATGGGGATCGCGGAACCCAGGCTGAGTCCTGTGCTTTGTGGTGTCACGGCCACAAAGGGAGGAACAGGAAGTCAGGGTACGAATCATGTGGTTGTGTTCTACTTGTTGCCCAGAAATGTTTTGTATAAACCAAGTACACCTCCTACCAGGAAATATTCCACACAATGCAACTGCACAGAAAGGAAGGTTTGACCACAGTCCCACCAACAGTGCCTTGCACAATAATGGTTAATGAAGTATAACATGTACCTCAATTTTGTACCTCAACAGGGGATGAGAACTTGACACAAAATTTTAAGAGACAGATTGGAGGGCTTGTTTTTTTCGCCCTCCACAAAAAGGATGTCTTTTGCTAAGTCTTGGGTCATCAGTTATGCTGAGTATTGACCCAAAATTCCACTTGTGATTGCAGTTGTGTTGTTAATACTGTATATTCTGCAGTAACTGCATTTGTCGCCAGCAATCCCAAAAAAACATATAGGCTGCATTCATTAAACCATTGATTTGTGAACCCAGCTGGCTCTTCTGAATGTGACCGGACCTGCAGACTATTTGTGCATCTGACATAGGGCCTCGGGTGACGTTTTTGCAACAGTGTGTGAATTACTGTGTCAAATGTTGTCCTTCTGCAAAATTGTGTTTTCTTGGAAATTCTGCAATTCCTTTATCCTCTCTAGGTGCTTCTGTTTCTACCTCTGTCTTTGAGGTCTGATATGCTGTGTTACCTGTGCATATCCTTAGACAGACAAACACTGGCTTGTTAAAGGGATCAGATAGGATTTCTAATATATCTCCGAGGAGAAGAGGAAGAGGTACAGTTAAAGAGTTAAATTTTATGTTATGTAAAGGTAGCATGGAGAAGAAAAGGACCATGAAATGTTTTATTGCTACTCTTAAATTTATTTTATTTCTGAGAAATCAGATTTCAGATTGAGTTGATGAACAAATTGCCTTATATTAGGCAACCACACTATAATAGTATACTGTGATTCAGCAATTGGATTTAACTGATCTGGCTACATGTGCTTAGATTTAGACATGCTTGTCTTCTGACCTCTGTTTGTGTCTTCTTGTACAATTTTCATTGTGCTTCCTTATTTTTTCCTTATCACAACTCGTTTTAACATAGCTCAGAACTTCTTTTGTGTATGATCTCTAACATCCTGTTCTGGTGATGAGGCATTTGTGCCCAGAGCCAAACATGTGCCGAGGCTGCTGCTGCCTAATGTAGTCACAAGGTGTAGAAACAGCTCAGTGTTTGGCAGGCACAAAAGAGTGTGCCAGAGCAATTTGCTTCCGGGCATGAAAGAATTCTTTAAGACTATTTTGATCTTCCTTGAGACTTGTGAAATACAGAAGTCGTGTCACTTTCTGAAGTGATTATAATTTGCCCCTGACTTTAGATATTTTTTTATTTCTGAGATAGCAATGCTACATGCAAAAGATATCTTAACAATTCTGTGTTTCAGTGGCTCTGAACGTGCCATTTTCTCTCTCTCTTCCTTCTTTCTGAAATCTACAGTTTGTTGCAGATTTCAAACCTGTCAACACCCAAACGTGTGACGCCAGATCTCAATACATGTGAAAAATCTAAGCTGAGGGACATGATAATATGTAGCAAGGGAAGAAGATACAAGTCCTGCAGAATATATTTTGTGCAGTACAGAAAACTTTTCTGTACGCTCCATTTTGAAGTTATATAACTGTTATCAGCCTGGGTAGGACAGGAGTTTGGACTTCATGACTCTCCCTTGCACTTGAAGGTTAGAGGAAACTGACAGTGCTTTCACTGCAGAGAATTTTACGAACTGCTTAAATCACAAACCTGAAAGTATTAAAAATATGAGTAACTCCCAAGTTCAAGTGAAGTTCATGCTTTGAAAATTCCCCCTGCCGTTGGAGAGCAGCGTCAGTCCGCAGCCTGGCGAGTCCGGCGTGCAGCAGCCGGAGCGGGAAGTGCAGCTGTGCACACGCTCGGACTTTCCCTTCGCAGCTGGCCAGTTCCGTCTGCGCCCGCCCGGAGCCATGGCACGGCTCTGCCCTGCTGCTCCAGCCCTGCTGGTGAGCTCCCTCGCTGCGCTGCTCCAAACCTCTCTGTCAGTGGATCATGTGCCGATGCTGCTTTGGTCAACTCAGAGGTAAGAAATCGAGTAAGAGTGTAGCCCTACTTAGGCTTACTGCTCTGTGTGTGTGTGTGCATATCGAATATGGTAAATAAATCTGCACCCTCGCCATCAAACAACTCAATAGATGATTTTACCCATTTTTATTTATGATTTTAGGGTTCTAAGCTGAGCAGAAAGAAGTAAATAAATTCTGTGAACTAAAAATCTGAAGGAGATGTGTTTTATTCACCCTAAAGTATCTTTGAACTCCACTTTAGACATGTGACTTAAAGCCACAACATAAGGCAGTGACACACAAAAGGAGCTGACCAAAAACTCTGTAGCAGTTTTTTAAGCCTTGGATTTCCTAACTGCTGAACCCTGACTTTTCACTTTGGTGTTATTTTTAATACAGGTTCTTAAGTACATTGCTGTATGTATATGCATCAGTTGATAGAAATAACTGCAGACTTGACAGATTCAGAGACACACAAAATTCAGGGGTTTTCATATACTTACGAAATAGGACTTTGAAGCTGTTTTGAAAGAGCCAGTTATAGACCTCTTTCTTTCCAACCAGGAATTTTATTCATGCTCACTTTAAGGATTTTGTACCGTTATTTGGAATTTCCAGAAATATGGCAGGTTGGGCAGTGCAGTAGCTTCAGGTGGATATATAAAGTTGTAAATATGGGTCACTTATTTGCCCCCTTTGCCATATTTTTACTCATCTTTTATGGATTTCCAAAACCTGAAACTCTGCATATGGAAATCTGCAGGTTTTGAAAAAGTTTGATTTATAGCTTTCACTTTGTTTTTTCCCCCCTAAAAGAAAAAAAAAATAAAAATAAAAAAAAGAATGTTTCAATGTCGAGGCAATTTTATATTCAAAATACTTAGTGATCCACCACTATATGACAGGCACTCATATGAGTATTAACCTCTGTATTTAAAAGCAAAGCAAATGTTGGAAAATAATGTTCTTAAGTTAAAAGTAATTCTAAGCATCTAAGAGTCCTTCCTTTGTCCTACTTCCTGGTTTATATGAAAAACATACCTGCTGTATATATAAACAAGATCTTATAACTTAATCCCATGTGTCATAAAAGCAAACTTTCCATCAAGATGCAATTAGCAGCTTGTTCTACTGCAGATTTTTCTGGTTTATACAAATCCAGAGCAAGAAAAACCAGGATACTGTACTGGGTAAACAGATTCATGTTGCCAGGAACAGAACCTTTTATGGAGGAAGTGTTCCTCCAACCATGACATTTGCATTTTGAAAGAAGAAGTTCTTGTGGGGCCAAAATTAGTTCTGGTGAAAGTCTATGAAGCAACTGAAAAGAAGTTTTCATTATTTTATAAAACAAAGTAGCATTAACAACAGCTTTCTGTTGCTAGCCCCTAACTTTGTGCTTTACATTTGGTACTTCACAGTGATGTGTGTGATCCACAGGCCTATGAAATTTAGAAATTACTATTAAGAGTCTTAGGAAAGTTATCTACTACAGAATTGCAGTAATTATGGATATCTATGGATATCTATTCACTCTGTAGAAACATGTCCCACCAGTATAAAAGTTCAGTGATTCATTAATCAACAGAAGTTGCAATTCACTGATCTATTCCATCACCCTGTTCCAGGTTATCTGTTACGATTTTATATTGAATAATTGCATTTTGTTCTAATTTAGAGCTAGCCATTGTTTGCCAAGCCATATCTCAGGACAGCTGTATTAGAGAATGTAACACTTTAAAGTCTCTTTTATACATTATTACTGTACTGTAATCGTGCTATTAAAGATAATGTTAGATGCCAGGTAGAGGTGGAACCTGCAGCTGACAAACACATGCAGTGCACAAAGCAAAGGGAATGATATCAGTTCTTACAGAGACATTTGTAAATCAAATACCTCTTTCCTCTTGAAAGAAAAATGCAGATCCTTACTTGGAGAAAAATAAGTGTTTTTTAAAAAAACAATATTCTTTCTCAATTCAGCTAGGGAATAACTCAGTATGTCACACTGTCCTCATTTTCACAAAAGCATCTATCACTGCATATTCTTCAAGTAAGTTTGGCGTGGAAAATTTGACCTTTATTTTAAATCAGCCTTTAAACTAATATTACCCGGTTGGGTTTTTGAAGCAGGGAAAGTTGAGAAGCTCTTCTTGCATATGATACACTGAACAAATTTTGAACCAATATTCAGAAGAATTCCTTTCCCTCCACAGATAAAGAGAAGGAGTTTGAGCAAATAAATTCATTAAAATTAGCTTTTGTAATTGCCCCCTCATGTGTTTGTTTTAGGAATTATTTTTGCCTACATTCTAAAATATATTACTTACTTTTTTTTTTACCTTATGGTTTTACAGGGAAAATAAACCTTTTCTTGCAAACCCAGGTTATAAGTGACTTTGAGAAGGTGTTAATGCCAAAGAGTACATTTGCACTAATTTATTTTTTCTAAACTAAAAAGTTTCCTAAACTACGGGGCCTTTACTGATAAATCTGCTGAAAGAAAGTGTAACATAAAAAGGAAGGGTTTTTTTAGCTATAATTTTATTGGATGCCTATTGAGACACTGTGTGTCAGCATGAGTAGGAGATAACATGATTTCTTATATGGTAATCACAAGGTGACTGATAGAGACAACTGACAAGAATAACTTATAGGAAAGAGTTCTGAAGCCAGCTACAAAGGAAAAATGTAAGTTCATGAGTTAGACTGCTAGAAGTCCTGTTATCCTTCCCATCAGCCCTTCTGGTGGGTCCAGATACAGGAAATCTTGAAATCTTTGCTTCCGTCAACCTAATTGTTCAAATTCCAGGAAGAATACTGTTCAGGAAAGAACATGATGTTGTCATGTCAGAGCAGTGAGGTATAAGAAAGAAGCAAAATACCAAGCTAAGCTTGCTTTCCTCACTTTCTGTAGGGCATTGTTTGACTGCTGGAGGAGAGAGCAGTTGAGTTTCAAGTTTACTTAAACTTCAAGCTTCCCTAGGATTCCTTAAATTTATGTGCTCCTGCACACACATTAAAGAGCATACATTAGCAGAGATGCTTGTCATTGTGAGCCCCGATGGTGCTGTGGCAGGGCTCGAAATGCACTTGGCACGTGAATGGATGGCTGTACGAGGCTGTGTGTCTTTGGATACAAGATTTTGTGTGAGCAATCGATAACAGCGATCAATATGTGTGTTGGCCTGCTGCTGGTTTCACACCGTGCCATCCGTCACCGGGGTGAGGAGTTCAGTGGGATGAGCTGTTCGATTGCCTTCAGGGAAGCACATCACTGATGTATCCACGGCCCCTTGGCACTCACAGGTCTCCGTCTCACCCCGCAGTTCACAGTAAAGCACCCAGTAAAACACACTGACCAGGCAGAGAAGCCGGTGGGGGGCTGGAGCACAAGTCTTGTGAGGCATGGCTGGGGGACCTGGGGGTGTTCAGCCTGGGGAAAGGGGAACTGAGAGGAGACCCTGTTGCTCTCTACTGCTCCCTGAAGGTTGGTCTCTGCTCCCAGCTAGCAAGGGATTGGATAAGAGGAAACGGCCTCAAGTTGCCCCAGGGGAAGTTTGAGTTGGATATTAGGAAAAATCCCTTCACTGCAAGTATAGGTCAGGCTTTGAAACAGGGAAGTGGTTGAGTCAGCTGGAAATGTTCTAAAAACACATAGATGTTGCACTTAGGCACATGGTTTAGTGGTGGACGTGGCAGTGCTGGATTGACGGTTGGACTTGATGATTTTAGAGATCTTTTCCAGCCTAAACGTTTCTATGGTTCTATTTCATGTTGTTGCACCAAGCAGACAGCAACAGCCCCCTCACTGAAGGTTGTAGCCTTCCCTACTGCCATGCATAGTGCTTAGCAAACTGTTAAAAAAAGGCAAAATAAATGTATGCATAATATTGTGAACATAAGTATTAGGCAAATGCTGAATTTTAATAGGATTATTAACCAAATTATATATATATATTTTAAATGATGATGAAGTTAATAAAGTTGACTGCTTGAAAGTTAAAAAGTGTCTCAAAAGGTGTTTTCAAGGTTAGATAGCTAACAAGAACTGCTTCAAGGAACAGGGAGTTTCTTAGAAGCAAGTATTCTTTAAAAGAGGATCATTAAACTTCTGAGGTTTTGAGTTCATAGCAAAAGCCTTTGCTACTGTGCTGCTGCAAATAATTTTGTTTTGTTTGATGTGCTTTCTCTTACTTTTTCTTAATTGCAAGTCCCCAAAACTCTCAAAAGCTTCATTTTTTCCCCTAAGATTAGGTATGAAATGGATTTATTTAGTTATTTAAAAAATAAATATACCAAGATATTCAGTGTAATTTTCTTTCACACAAGCCATTTTTTATCGTGTCTTAATTTAATCTATCTGCTTTTTCTATAATATCATTAGTATTTTGATATAGCCATGCAAAGTACAAAGTCAGTACGAAAGTCAGTTCCTGAGGAGTCATTCAGATTCTTTGTGACTTTCTGTGTTTTCAAATATATTAATTTAAAAGATTGTACTTAATTTTTTGAAAGTATGACGTTTGTCTTCTCTGAAAAGTGGAGGCATGCCTGTTAGAATGTCTCAGTTTTTTGTGTTCATAAATTTAAGTTAATGTGGATTTCCAAGAACAAATTAACTAAGAAGTGAAGATGCTGAGTCAAACTAAGAAAATATCAGATAAATTCAACCAATAAAGAAACATTTCCTTCATCTCAGCAGTGTTTAATTCTAAAGCTTGTAAAGTGACAGAAAAATGTTCTAATAGAATTTAATTCTCACAACTCCAGCATGTTGTCCTGAAGGAGTCTTCCCCATACAGAGTTTTCTCTAACGCTTTCCCAAACCCCAGAGTCTGAAGTGAGATAGGCATCACCTAGTGCTGCAGGCTGCGCTGGGTTTCTCTCTGCCACTGGTACATTGTGAGCATTTCTATTCACTTTCAGCAATCTTCATTGGAATTGCAAGGAAGACTTAGAGTGCAATTTAGACTTTTTTATACAAAAAACCACACTGAACCCCACCTGTGTTCATTCACCCTGTTCTGTCTCCATCTTAAATGGCTGCAAATGTTGCTGTCATTCATAAAACTTGCTGTGCAGTGGTCATTCGCAAATTGCTTTGAGTTAGAAAATTTAACTTTTATATCAACTTGATCGAATTGCCAATAACTGATGCTAGAGCACACAACAATTGCCTATATTCGAATTTTTGTAATTAGAACCGGTTAGAGTGTCTGGGATCCCTGTTCTCTCAGGTTTTAGCAATTGATGTGTACCTGGGTAAAGATGGAAGATTATGCCTCAATTTCACGGTTTTCCACAGACAATATTCATTAGTCGAAACACCTAGGATGAAAATGTTCATAAAAAGTTTCCTCCCTGTAGACCCATGTTGCATATTGTTCAAATCCCAATGAGGCGTTGAAAGGATAATGCCACCTCTTGTTTTGCCTGTTTTCTGTAGCAGTAAAAATAAATAAATGAGTTATTTCTCATGTCCAATAGTCACAGTGACAGGTTGGCAAAAGAGTTGTAAGTGGGGTGCCTTGAGTCATTCCATTCAGAAGAGCTCCTGCTGCTGGAAATGTGCCTTTTTGAGCAGCTTCTATAGAATTGTTCCTTCATCATGAAAACCTTAGGAGAGAACCTGTTTACAATAGCACTTAAAGACACTTCTACTAACAAAAGTTTTATAAAAAAATACTAGTTTATGACAACTTGTGATCTAGTAGTCTGAGTTCTATTCCTGCTGACCTCCCTCTGTCAGCACTGCAAAGTGTTTTGGGAGTTGGGATGCCATCTGGGATTTTTCTCTAAATGTTTTCAACGTATTCTTCTTCACTGCACTTAGTAGGTAACTTTTTTTGGAAAAATGCAACTCTGCTGTTGTACAGAAACAAGAAAATATAAGCATTACCCCTATTCATTCTTGCTGTAATGCAGTCAATTTGATACAGACATAAATGGACAAGTTCTTTTGAGCAGAATGAAAGTAAACTGAACTGCAAAGTTGATCTTAAATGAAACATGATGATTTCATTACCTGCCGCTGCATATTTAAAGAAAGAAAAGGTGTCACGATTGGCAGCAAATTTTACAGAAAAAGGAATTATTCCTTTGTAGATCACAGTGGAATCCAGACACTGCTGTGCATGAAGGACAAGTTGTCTCAGCACAGGAGCTGACAGTGTTCTTGCAACCTCTCTTTACCCAGAACTCCAGAAACCTCGTCTTGTTCCTGCAAGATAGGGTATGTAAACCATTTTTTTTCTCACCAATACTGAGCACAAGTCTGCACCTAAATGAGATGCCATGACTCCTTCTCACCAACCTACTCTCTTTGTTTTTCAGCTTAGCGTAGATGATTTCACATACTTCAGTGAATCCTATGGCAACAAGAATCCATTTCAAAATGTTCAGGCAAGCATTTATCTCTTATTTCTTTATGTGCAGTATTTAAAAAGAAAAATAAAGATGTAAGAAAGATGCAAAGAGACAATAACTGGGAAAAGGGCACTTAGTTGCAGAAGTTTTCCTATTTAAATTGTTGAGATTATTCCAGTTTAAGCAGATGTATTAAAGGAAATAAACTGAGTTTGCAGATACTTGCTTTGCAGCTATTATATTTTTAAAGAATGAGTTTTCACAATTCATCATGACTGAAAAAATTGTTCTAAAATATAAACTTCAAGACCAACACCCCAAAATTCTGTTTTGAAGCCATAGGAAGAAAAGAACTTATGGCAACCAATCATTTTTTTCCTATTTTCAGAATTGAATTCCTATTCTGTTTTTACAGAAATTGAAGCTCCTTCAGGGAGTTAACTGTTTTATATTTGTATTAAGTTAATATATCACTAGATGCTATATTGCCTCAATCTTCATGAAAAAAATAATGCTAGTTGATTGACTTGAAATAAACTCTAGGCACAGAATTTAAGACGGAATCCTCCTGAGTCAGTCAACAGCTTCAAATTCTGTCCTCACTGAGGTTTATAGATTTTGTGCAGAGCATCTATGGTTGTACTTACATGACAGTTTATTGAAATGTAATTAGACAAAATGTTCACTTGTGGAAGTCATAAAGACATTCCTGGAGGCAGTGCAAGATGAACAGAGCTATTAGTAATGTAAATGGTATCAGAGCACACAAGGAAGTGTAAATTCGTAAGCACCACACAGCAAGCACTATATGTAATTAAATACATAAATATTCACATAATACCTGTCTCTACATCTGTACTAAGAACCTCAATCTTCCTTGTATAACTGGAACTGGAGATATTAATCTCTTTGTCATATAACAGCATTTTAACACTGATGCTGGAAGAGAAACAATTATTCAGAGTATCTACATGGGTTTTCTGAGGAATGAATGGGAGTCATAATCATCTGTACTGTAAGGATCAGTGGTTGTGTCCGCAGGCAGATGCACTGGTTCTTCTCTGCTATGCATTATCTTCTCAGGATTTAACATCTCTGCAAGGCTGTGTCTGGAACAAATTTTTGTTGCTGCCTGACTACAATACCAGTTTAATTTCAGCTGTTTGACATGCATTGCAATACATGACATTGCGAATTCCTAATAATGTGGTGGTCTTATTTAAGTAGGCCCTGGATGTTTAAGGGGCATATCAAGGTATTTAAAACATTCTTCTTTTGCGTGTAATCAGGACTCCATCAGCACTGTAGATAGAGATTAAAGGCTTTGAAGTCTAGAGATAAGGCCAGAGACTGATGGGTTAGAAATCAGGTGGTATACAAGGGGATTGGGGACCTAGTGAGGGCTGGTGAGGAGGTCCTCAGATTAAAAAAAAGTCATGTTTAAGTAAATCTTTGTCTGTATCTGGAATGTCAAAGACTTATACCCAAGTTTTTAACAATCTGAATAAATGTCAGCGACTGTTTTTTTCCTGATCTTGCCTCTCTGACTTGAAGCTGAGGAATTTTTCCATATTATTACTTCTTTAAAACTGGAAAGTTTATTTTTACAAATTGCTCACCTTAACTCCAGCACTTCCTACATTTGTTCTGTTGGATTTGGCAATCTTAATGCTTTTCTAGTGTAGTTTGATGGAGGTGAGGTGCTGTAATGAGTGAAAGAAAATGAGGTGTATAAACTACATACTTCTTTTTCACCTAGGTGCTCATAGAGTTTTGTCAATATCTATTGCATAGGGTTTAGTTCTTAGGGCCGGTAAAGGAGCTTTATAGTCATCCACATTGGGCATAACAGAGTCTGCAATTTGCTCAACTGCTATTGTATTACTTGAACTCCACTTGAGATACTTTGGGTAAGAAAACAGCTCTTATATATGCTATGAAAGGTTGCAACAATATTCACACAACACAGGACAAAATGAAGGTCGGTTCTCACTGAAGAAATTAGAATCCTTGATGTTGCATAGTCACAAGATTTTACCTACACAGTAAATATATATTATATATATATATTTTTTATATATATATATATATATATATATATAAATATAAAAAATACAAGCGATCAGTGAAGCTATAATAAATGTTCCATTGCTCTCAAGCCTTCTCCTCTATGAACTTCAGAAATGCAAACACATTCATAAACATAAGCTGGAGATTTCGTTTAGAATGTATAAATGCATGTAACAGTACACGTATTACAAGAAGAAAGTTATTTGAAAAAGAGTTAAAGGTTTGTAAACCCCAGAAACTTTTGCAGATATTAGATTTGTTCAGCTGCATTAGCAGCTGTTTTGAGCTTTTGGTATCAATGGGTTTGCATGCAATAAAAGAATCTTATTTCCAATTAATACAAAAGGAATCTTATAGGTAGATCATTTATCTTGAACTTTTGAACATCTTCTAAATTAAATAATAAAATACAAATATAAGCATTTGGGGAACTTCTTTCTCAGGCAGTCACCTACCCCACAAGCTATTTTTCTTTAATATTAGCTTTGGCTTTCTCCAGACAATGCTCAGCTCCTTAGAACTGCAGTGTATATTAACACCCACCAATTAGTGGCCAGCTGTGCAGCTTCATAATTATGACTGTAAGTCATTGCCAGCTGTAATTTGATAACTCCATCCTATCCTCACTCAGTGGTCATAGACTGAGCAGTACTATTTAGTCACGTGTGATGCAGAGGTTCTAATAAAGTTTTGATTGTCTTTATTTCCTTTCTTTTAGTTTTATTGTATTATTTTTTGACAAGGGAACATGCAGAGAACTGCATAATAATCAAGATAAATGTTCATCATAGATTTATGCAGTGATATGATAATGTTTTCTTCTCTAGCCTTTTCTAAAATATGATTTTGTTTGATTTTTTCACTTCTGATTACTATCAACCTCTGAATTACTATTTTTAAAGAGCAGTTGTAACTTTCAAGGTTTCATTACAGAAGCGTAACACTCAGGTCTGAGTCTATTACCTATTATTGTGTATGTAAAATTAGGTTTGTTTTTCTGTCACCCTGTACTGTGCTAAAATCAATTTGCATTGAATCTTATCAGTTACTCAGTTGCCCAAGAGGTTGAACCAGAAGCTGCTTCTGTAGTTCATCAGTCAGCTGCTGCCTTTGTTAACCTGAAAAATTCGGCATAAGGAGCAAGTTTCATTAGCTCAATATTTATCTTTTTATCAGATAGTTTAGGAGCATATGGAACAGAACAGACCCTAGTGCAGTAACAGATACTTTTTTATACCCCTTGCTTGCTAAATCTTTACCTATTCTTTAGCTACCTTCATGTGAAGACTGCCTCTCTCTCCAAAGCAGCTTAGCTTCTTTCGTCGTCCCTGCTTCAAGACTCTGTTAAATGCCTTGTGTGGGTCCAAGTAGAGTGTACATCTAGTGCTTCATGAGAATACATGAACCGTACATGCCTGTTCATTCCTTCAGATAGATATCTTCAGCAGAATTGTTTGGCAAAACTTTTTTTGTGAAAGCCACATCGATCTTTTCCCCAGTACAGTCCTTTGTTATTGTTATAGTCTGCATTTTATTCTTTTGAATGCTTCCTCCCATTCTTGGACTTCAGGTTTTCTTCTTGACAGTCCCTTGGATCTGTCTGTTACCCTTAGGAAAAAAAAAATTTCTGTCATGTCTCCCACTATACAGTACAGCATGGAGGTTTTTTCAAAAATACTTCTTGTAGCTGCAACACACTTTATCAGGTAAAGTACATCAGATCAATTTTCATTAAAATTGTAACTTACAGCTTTATGCTTACATTTGAAGGGCATGGCTACAGTGTAAAAGTTTGTGGGATAGATAATAATTGGAAAGTTAAAATTAAACCTTCCCCTTCTCCTTCTTTTCCCCTTCCTCTCTCTCCTTGTCCCTCTCCTGTTCCTAGTTACTGTGTTGTTATCTTCCACAGAATGCAAAATCAGATGTTTCTCAATATCCTCTTCATTCTCCACCCCCTTTTGGATTTTTCATGTTTTGAACAAACTTGGTAGCTGAAGTCCTAAAATGTGCAAAGCAACACATGGGTATTGTAACGAAAAGTGCACAGTTGCCAAATGGCAAGAAGGACAAAGAGGCAGGGGATCAGCTTGCCTACCTGAGGCTGTTGAGTTGATATCCAGCTGTGTCTACCCTTCAGATGAAAAGCAGCTGAATACCAGTGTCTGGAAGCTGAGACAGATAGCAGTGCAGCATTGGTTAGGAGCAGAGGCACAATTCAGATATTTCTCAGTAATTATACATTTTATGTTTTATTCTACATTAAATGAGTAATCTGCTTAATATATATCATTGGATGAAATGGCTGTTGCCATTCTGGCTGCTGCTATGGGACAAGGGATTAAAATATTGAAAATAAAACAAAATCATTTAATTGCTCAGAATTTGAGGTCTAAATTCAAGTCTGTAAACAAATCAAAATGAAATGCTTCATCTTTTTATTCCAGGAGGAAGAAAACACTACTCAAAGACCTGTACATAAGATCAGTGCTTTCTGCTCTATTTTAATTTCTGCAGTTATTTTTCTATCAGTCTGGTAAATCAGACAATGCTACATAATCCTCCCTTATGAGCATCTATACCTATAGCCTTTGCCTAGGAAGGAAGTTGTGAGCAATTATAAAGAACCAGAGCAGGTCAGAAAAGTGGTAAGCAGTCAAGTCACAGACAAAAAGGAAAAAATAAATAGTAGGAGAAAAGTGTTAGGAACACCAAAACACTTGCATCACAGGGGGAGAGAGTCTGTAACAGCCTGAAGATCTAAATGTTGGATCAAGTGACAGACTTAATCTAAACTTAAATGTAGAAAATACAAAAGCAAAATTAATAAGCTGTAAACTAGGACTCATTGAAAAAATATCTTCTAGTATTCATATTTGCATTGGGTTTCTGTGGCAAGACTTTGCTAGTGGGTGGATTACAAGGGTGGCTTTTTTGAGAAGCTGAAAGAAGCTTCCCCCATGTCCAAAAGTATCAATGCTGCAAGAGGGACCCACCTGCCCATCAGAGATGGTGGTGATATATTTAAAAAGGTGAAAAAGTTACTGCACAGAAGCAATTGTGTTTCGAGAAGAGAGGAATGAGAATGTATGAGAAACCAGCACCAAAGTCATCACAGAAGGAATGGGAGGAGGTGCTCCAGGCACTGGAGCTGAGGTCTGCCTGCAGCCTGTGGTGCAGCTCATAGTGTGACAACTGTGCCTCTGTAGCCCATGGAGGTACATGGGGGAGCAGAGATCCACCTGCAGCCCATGGAGCACCCAGGGCCAGGAGAGGTGGATGCCTGAAGGAAGCTGTGAACCTTTGGGAAGGCTTCTGGCAGGACCTGTGCAGAGAGGAGCCCATGATGGAGCACTCTGTTCCTGAAGGACTGCACCTCATGGGAGGGACCCACTCTGGAGCAGTTCATGAAGAACTGCAGCCTGTGGGAAGGACTCTGCTTGGAGAAGTCCATGGAGGACTGATTCCCATGGGAAGGGCGCCATGTGGGAGCAGGGGAAGAGTATGAGGAGTCCTCCCCTCAAGGAGGAAGAGGCAGCAGAGATGATGTGTGATGAACTGACCACAGACCCCATTCTTTTTCCCCCTTCACCACTTCAGGGCAGGAGGTAGAGAATCATGGTTAATGTTGTGCATGGAAGAAGAGAGGGGTGGGTAGAAGGTCCTGTTAAGATTTGGGTTTATTTCTATTAACATACTCTGATTTGATTGTTAATAATTTAGTTAATTTTCCCAAGTCAAGTCTATTTTTCTTTTGTAATTGGTTAATGAACTCTCCCTGGCCCAGGAGCCTTTTATTTTCGCTCCTTTTTATAGTTGAAGAGGGCAATGATAGAGCAGCTTTGGTTGGTACCTGGCATCAAGACAGTGTCAACCCAGCACCACATTAAACATGGGCTGCATTAATTCTGATCATTTTCAAATCTTCATCTTGCATTTTGTTTCCCCAAATATTTCAGTTTAATTTTATTATCAAGAAAAATGCTTGGAAATATGCTTTTCGACTATGCAGGTTCCAAATTTATATAATGAGAATGTTTTTCAATTCATTTCACTCAAGTGAATTCCTTTATGAGGTAGTCAACTATCAGAATTGTAAATAAAGTGAAAGATACTCTGATGCTTTATCTGAACCAATTCAGCCTGAGTTTTATAATTTGTACTTTGGGTAGAAAGGTGGAAAATATATGACATGAATTTTGTTTGTGTATGTCTGGAGGCTCTGTATATCTGAAATTTACAGCTTTCTTTAATCAATAGTTACAAATTAGATGTTTTTCTGTACCATGTGCTGTTCCACCAGGATGTACACAAATGCAGGGTGTTTATTATGCAAAGTATGACTTAACTGAATGGGGCTGCTGGAACTGGAGGTGTCTGACATTGATCTTTCTGAGCTTTGCTTCTGGCAGCGTTCATAACCACTACACTCTTAGCTTGAGAACTTCTACATCATCTGTCTCTCCTCTTCCACCACACATGTGGAAAAGACAGTAAAAATTTGGTATTACTGAGAGCTTTAAGCTTGCTGCAAGAAAGTTCAGAAGTCTGCAAGGCACCATCAATCAGGATGGTGAGAATTCACGTGCTGTTTACTGTGGAGGTTCCTCCCCTTGAATATTAAATTAAGGATACATTAAAAAAAAGTTGTGTTTAATTATTAAGCAACTCAATATTAAGCAAGTAAATAAAATTCTCATAAATTTATTACAGGAAATTCTTCAGTCTTCTCCTTCATCTTTAGTTTTGCCAGCTGTTGACTGCAAGGCCACCAGGTATCTCCTCACTGTTCTTCAGGAATCAGGAGATTGGAAGTTAACAAATGTAACTAATCACAATGTCTCTCAGCTGGAAGTGAATGCATCTAACCCAAACTTACTGGTGGTTCAGCTACCACCACTTGCCAGGTAGGAGTTTATCACGAACAGAACTGACCCACCCACACGTGTGCATAATTTTTAGAGCTTTTAAAAATGTTGGTTGTATTCAGGAAATTTAAAAAAAAAAAAACACAGTGGAAGCTTGTAGGGCTATCAAAATTGTTTCTCTTACAAGCATGAATTCAGTGTTTTTCAAAGTCCCCTGATGAGCTTACCAGGTATAATAGATGAATTATGTTGAGAAAGGCAGTCAGGCATTCCTATTTTGTCTGCCTCATTATATGAGAACAAAGGGGCAGCTAATAAAACTAAATGGCAGCACAATTTTTAGCAGAAAGGCTCAATTATTTTACTCGACACATGATTACCCTGCAGAATTAATTACTAGAAGGCATTCCAGGGGTCAAAAATACTGGCAGGATAAACAAACAAGAAAATAAGCATACAGACAAACCTGAAGCTAATAAAGAGCCTGATTTTCCATCACTATGGAAGGAAGAGGAAGGCTGTAATTCTTCATGTTTCCAGCTCTATGAGGGCTGTGATCTAGCAGAGACAGGAAGAGACTGTTCCTTCAGATAAATGTATATTTAGAAAATATAAGGGATGGTTGCTGAGCTGCTTCTGCTTCCTCTTCTTCCCGGCTTGTTACTTGGGCATTTGTACATGATGGTGTAAGATGCAGATATCAACACATCCTAAACAAATGCAATTCTAGCTGCCACATCACTACACAAAAAGAGGCATGATAACTATTTTAAAGAGCTCCGGTACAAATGTTAAACAGGGGCCAACACCAAATGAAAAAAAACCTTCCCAGAGACTGATCAAAATACTTGTCAGTAGTATGGCTTTTCTGCTGCCAAGGAAATTGGAGGGGTTTACAAATCAGAAGATGGGGTCCTTACATTTTTAATGGCTTTGCAGAAGAAAAGGGTCATTAGGAGGAGATGAAAGAATAACAGAGGGACTGACAGTAATCCTTTTATCAGTCGGTATCTTCATACATTTCTGATTCACATCATTCTTTCCTAGGAAAGATTTTTAATTATTTCTCTCCCTCTTTTTCTCTAGTGATCTAAAAGAGATTTCTACCCTGGAAGCAATTGCTGAAAATGGTAAGTAATATTACCTAGACATAACTAACATTTGTATTTTCAATTGAGTAGGTTGTATTCTCTAGTTCCCAGGCTTTGCTGTGCTACTATTATTTAAAGGCTTTTATCCCACTCTTCTTCTACAGTATTTATATGCTGTGGTTGTCTTAGTTTTAATCAGACACTAAGTATCTGATTAAAAATCCACCTGGATACAACTCTGTGACGTGAAATGTAAGCTTGATAAATTCACAGGCCCTGCTTCAGGTGTGGGCTTTTGCTCATTCTCTGAGCCCAAACCCTGCATGTCTGTGCAACTTGAGCTGCCTCCTTGGATCTCACCTTGCACACTGGCAGCTGGAGGTGCCAGGCTCATCTGGCAATTCCAAGACCTTGGTCTCAACAATGGGTCTCTGCATGAGTAGGAAATGTTTTCCTAATCTTTATAAACAATACTGATGGCCTTTTTTTGCCTTTGATTTCAGTCTTTATTGGTTTTGCAGTGTATTAAACACTACTTGTTAATATAGTACTATAGAAAATTTTTCTCGCCTAGCATCTGGTTGAAAAAGTGGTGCCACACATGAAAATGACACTGAGAGGCATCTCATTGCAGAGCTTTCACTTAATACTCTAAATTAGAAATCAAATTATAAAGTGTGCAAGTCAATGGAAATGGTAGTTTGGGGGTTTACAGTGTAGTGGGCTGATAACTAAACAGTGTTCTTAGTGGCTATGGCTGTTTCTGCTCAGAACTGGGGTTGTAAAATCAGGAGCCGATTTGAAAATCAGGGGAAAATACCTTAGTAGTGAAATCAGTTGTGTATCCTTTTCTGTTTTTTGCACAAAATGAGTGGGTTTTGTGCTAAAACAAGCAGTTGGGTTTTCATCTCTGAATTGCAGAGGAGTTACTTTGCTCTTTTCTTATCTGCAGAGCATACTGGATAGCTGAGCCTTGGCTTAATGCTGCTCTTGGCTAAATAGTGGCTTTTTCTTTATTGGACATTTCTTTCATTAACTACATGGATTCAAGAATTAGCTTCCCAAGCCTTGTAATCATAGTATTGTAGAATATGCTAAGTTGGAAGGGACCCATTGTCTTGGCCCTGCACAGGACACCCCAAGAAGCACATCATGTGCCTGACAGAGTTCTCCAAATGCTTCTTGAGCTCTGCCAGGTTTGGTCATCTGCCACTTCCTGGAGAGCCTTTTGCAGTGCTCTGGGTAGAAAACCTTTTCCTGATACCCAGCCTAATCCTTCACTGACTCAGTTTCATGCCATTTCCTTGAGTCATGTCACTGGTCACGAGTGGCGAGATCAGCAGTGTCTACCCCTTCTCTTCCCCTCACGAGGAAGTTGTAACTGCAATGAGGTCACATTTTTCTCCAGTCACATTTTCTCCAGGCTGAACTGACCAAGTGGCTTCAGCTGCTCCTCATAAGGCTCCCTTCCCCCTTCAGATCCTTCACCATTCTCGTTGTCCTCCTTTGGACACTCGCTAGTAGCTTTATATCCTTCTTACATTGTGGCACCCAGAGCTGCCCCCAGCACTCGAGGTGAGGCCACCCCAGTACAGAGGCAGAGCAGGACAATCCCCTCCCTTGCCTGACTGGTGATGTTGTGCCTGATGCACCCCAGGACATCCTGGCTGTCAGGCCACACCATAGACTCATACAACTGTCTCAGGCCACTTTGTTTTGGGAAAGCAAAGTTAGGAGGAGATTATGGGAGGATGGAGGAAAAGGATATGCCAACTATTTGGCTAGTACTAACTAAAATTTGGAAGATGTGCCACTTTGCTTGGCCAAATACAGAATCTGCACTATTGTTCCCATGAAGGCACCTAATTTAGATGCTCTAAAACATGGTGGACAGTCTGAGATCTTTTCTTTGGAAAATTTGAAAATATTTCATAAGAAAGGTAGAGTTCTGATCCCAGGCAAACAAGATCTATATCAACTGTACTGTCGTAAGGATGTTCACAGAAGTTTCTCTGAATGAAGGAGTTACCTCTAGAATCTTCTTGAGGCAAGTGTTATAGATGTTACTGGTAATTATAGTTACATGTAGCTCCTTTCTGAAGGGAAATGCAAATAACATGTTATTTCAGAATGCTATCGGTTGTTTTAATGAAAGAAAACCCAAAGTCAATCTCTACATTTTTATACATATTATTTTTTTTGTTCTGCAAATTTGTGCTAAGGCTGAAGAGAATTTCCAAAATCTATGAATCCAGAATACAAAATCTGCATTATATAATGCCTTGGATCTCCACAACCAATGAATTATGGCAGTATTATTTAGGCAGTTGTTTTTCCGAGTAAGGACATTTCTTATAGTAGATTCTCTTAGCAATAATTTTAGAAGGAAAATTTACACAGCTATGATTGTTGATTGAAATAAGGAAATCAGTTCAGTTCAAATACTGTAGAAAAAAAATGCTTGACTTTTTACGAAAGCCAAATATTTTACTCAGCCAGAACACCATAATTAGAGTAAATAGAAGTGGTTAAAGAGGATAATAATATAAACTCCTAGTTTCAGCAAATACAAATAAAACACAATTTCTATAAAATATAACCTCAAAATCCGAGAAGTTTGTACATCCAGGTTATAAAATATTCGTTCACCAGACTGGTACATGAGTGAGAAGTGGGAAGGCACTTGAACAGGAAATGTGAGTCTGCTTCTTGTTTCTCAAGCAGTCCCAATAACAACACTAACAGTGGCTCATGCTTCATAACCATTGTGCTCCTTATAAGCAGATGTTCACGTTTCTGCAAAAATATTGAAAGCATTGATCAGTTGTATTTATTGCAATGCCTGTGATTTCAGAACTAGAGAAGGATCTTTTGTAGAAACCTATTTGGACCTCTTTGAAAGGCCCTCTCTTCCTTATTTGACTTCTCCTTCCTTTTTCAGAAATATTCCACCATAGTTCTCCTTTGGCCTCCAATGTAATGAACAGGAAAATTTTCTGTGTCCTGTTGGGGGTGCAAAAGGCAAAAGAAATATGGCTACCAGTATTATACATATCATTGCTCACACTAAACATCATGTTTTGAGTGTTGTTTCTCGGTGGTAGTTACGTGTATTTTGTAATTCACAGAATAATAGTGCTTAAATTTTATTACTTATTTATTAGCTGGTCACTTGACTAACAGTATATTCATGGTGCTCTCACCTCTTAAGTGACTGCTCTTAATTGCCCAAAGTTCAAACTTTTGGGTATATTTTCCATGGTTTTACTTTTGAGTTTCAAAATCACTGCTTTTTCTGAACTGTTGTATTTTTTAAAATATTATCTCACTGAAATTGTGCATTTTTCAAGACACTGAGTGTCTTATCCCATTTGTACCTAGATGGAATGAGCTCTTATGTTGCTTAAACAAACTAACTAAGCTTAAGCATCTAGTTCATTACTTCTCCGACTACTGTAGTATTTTAGCTTTCTCAGCTCACAGAGTTTGTTGAATTATACATGTTTCTATTTACAGACAAAATAATTGGAAGAGTGACCATGGATCTGCAGGAACAAGGGATTCATTTTTCAGTAATTTATACTGCAATGAGACCTTCAAGGGTGAGTAATTTTCAGTGCCTAGAACTGTCAGATTTTTATCATCCAATAACTTAATGTTTACAGAAGAACTCTGTAGATGGTTTTCAAGATTATACAGACAAGCAATCTATATTATATGAGGTTTCGACCAGAGATGATTGCATGAATTTTCATATGACAGCAATATCACATAAGTATTGAAGTTTTAATGTTCTAGGGGACTATAAATCTGCCTTTGTCTGTAGAACTTACTACTATTTTTAAGAACTGTAATTAATTTTCTTTTCCATTTAATTCTATTGGTTTTGTAGTGAATTCTATGTGGAACATTATCAAGCTTCCTCGTGTGGCTGGTTAGTATAGACAGAGTGTTATTAATTAATTGAAGGCTACTAAACTATCCATTTTAAAATTAATTAGTTTAATTTCATTTAATCAATACTTGGTTTTTGCAACTGCATGGTAAAGTTTTCACCCTTTCTGATTGTCAGAATATAATTTATACATCATATCAAATTAACAGTAAGTAACAATGCAGGATATTTATTTATGCAGAGTTATCTTTTTGTATGACATACAGGTTGCAATAAAAAAATATTAATTTTTTAATTTTAATGTGAATAAATGGAAGACAGTCTTGCCTTGAGAAAAAAAAAGATTTCCCATTAAGAAGAGAAACGTTTGAAGGATGGGCTGAATCCTAAAAAATGCAACTTTGAAAGAAACATGTGTGTCTGTTTCAGAGGTAACACAATCTGAGCTCCTAATATGATAATGGAATCACAGAATCATTAAGATTGGAAAAGACCTCAAAGATCATTGAATCCAACATTTGACTGATCACCATCATGTCAACTAAACCATAGCACTAAGTCCCACATTCAGTAATTCCTTGAGCACTTCCAGGGATGGTGACCTTCCTGGACAGTCTGTTTCAGTGCTTGACAACCCTTTCAGGGAAGAAATTCATCCTGATGTCCTGCCTGAACCTCCCCTGGTGCAGTTTGAGGCCATTTCCTCCTGTCCTGTTGCTAGCTGCCTGGAAGAAGAGGCCAACCCCCACCTGTCTACACCCTCCTTTCAGGCAGCTGGAAAATGATAAGGTCCTGGGTGAACACCCCACTTCCCTCAGCCACTCCTCATGTGATGTGCTCTCTAGACCCTTCACCAGCTCCACTGCCCTTCTCAGGACACACTCCAGCCCCTCTTGTAGTGAGGGGCCCAGAATTAAACAGAAGGGAGCAATCCCAGCTCTGGTCCTGCGATTGCTGATACTGGCTGGGATGGTTTTGGCCTTCTTGGCCACCTGGGCACACCCTGGATCATGTTCAACTGCTGTCAACCATCACTGCCCGGTCCCTTGTACCCACATAGACTCCAAGTGGTACAGTGGGTCACTAGCTGCTTCCTCTTGGATTGCAGGGGTTCTGTTCTGCTTCTAGACCCTGTCTACCAGCTCAGGGGACATGTTGCCCTGAGGATAACCAGTCTTGCTGTCAAAGGCTGAGGCAAAGAAAATACAAGTACCTCAGCCTTTTTCTGGTCCTTGGTTACAATGTTTCTCCCTTCCCCACATCCAAGGGTAGAGAATTTCCATAGCTCTCCTTTTGTTGTTAATTTATTTATAAAAGCACTTTTTATTATCTCTCACAGCAGTTGCTAAGTTGAGTTCTAGCTGAGTTTTCAACTTTTCTAATTTTCTCTCTACATGCCCTAATGACACCCTTGTACTCTCCCTGAATCACCTGCCCCTTCTTGGAAAGGTCATCATCTCCTTTTTATTTTTTTCTCTGATTTCCAGTGAGAGCTTCCTATTCAGCCAGGCCAGTCTTCTTCCTGCATCAGCTCATCTTCTGGCATATGACCTGCTTCTGTGGTTTTAAGTTTTCTTTCTTAAAGTATGTCTAGGTCTCCTGGATTCCTTCATTATTAAGGACTGCCCAAGGTAGAGGTTTTGTTGACTCCCTTCCTCACTTCACCAAGAATAGTAAACTTTATCATTTTGGGGTTGCCCAAGGCAGCCTCCAACCACCACATCTCTCACCAGTCCTTCTCTATTCATAAGCAGCAGGTCTAGCAGGGCACCATCCCTGGTAGGCTTCCTCAGCAGATGTGTCAGGAATTTACCTTCCTCACGCTCTGAGAACTGCCAGGACTGCCTTTTCACTGTGCTGAGTTTCCAGCAGACATCTGGCAAGTTAAAGTCTCCCACAAGAACAAGGGCTAGCGATCATGACACATCAGTCAGTTTATAGAATATTTCACCTCCCTTTCCTTGGTTTAGGCAACATGAAAGACATTTGTATGATTGTCTAGATCTGGCATGAGAAATGCCAAGAGGATCTTGAGAGGCTGGAAGGCTTTCAGGAGGTAGCACAATGAAAAATGCACTGCTATTCTTCTTACAAGAATAAAACCAAGAAACTCTGTGTTCAGTGGGTGTGGAGGGAAATCCCTTTATCTTGTCCAAAAGAAGAGTAAGAGGCCACTTAAATGGATTTCATAAATGTTCTTTAAGCCAGTAGTGGATGAGCCCCTCAAAGGTATTCTGTGTTCATTCAAAAGTAGTTTGGGTTTTTGCATGCATAGGATCTTGAACCTCTGACTAATCCAACAAGGTGACCACAATAGTCCCTTCAGCTCTGGGGCAAAAGCTAATTCTACCAAAGAAAAATTAGAACTTTCTTCAAAAATTCACCCTGTGAAATTAACTTCCGGAGCCTGGATTTTGGAGACCAAATTTAGGAAAAAAACCAATAGCATGAGAAGACAAGCTCACATGGATATTCTGTGTACTGTGTGTTTTTGTGGCAAAGAAGAGAGTATTAGTCCAGAACTTGTGATCTGCCTTTTTTCCTTTTTCTTTTTTTTTACAAAGATCCAAAATAAAAATAAAATTTACTTTGTTATTTTGCTCTTTGCTGTTTGAAATCAAAGGCACATGGACATTCTTAGCTGAAAACTGCATTTAGAACAATTGGAATGAAAAATATTTTTAATTAATTAGAAATTGGAATTAAGAGAAGGAATTTTTTGATCAATATAAAACATATTTTAAATCTATGCATATTTCAACAGGCTTTCCAAATTAAAGTAACTTAGTATGAGTAGCTGAAGCACTTTTAAATAATTAAAGCAATGTATTTTAAGATGTTCTACATTTTAAAGTACAAGCAATTTAAACTTTTTCCAATTGTTTAAATTTAATACTTTATAAAACCATTTGAAGCATTTTTTGGCCCGTCACAATAACTTTATTTCAGTTCATTTAAGGTTATCAGCTTCTGTACAGAGCTAGAAAAGCCAAAGCAGAATGTACCTTTGAGGGTTCATCACTCTGTGTATTTGCATATAACCTCTCCTTGATATGTATTGCTTATCTTTGGCTGTGCTTGAACTGCAGAAGGTATGAACTGTTTCATAACCATAGCTGAAAATACTAACTCTCTTTGCTTAAACTATAAAGACTATATGGCATGATCTACAAGTTAAAGGATCACTCCTCAATGACAGCCAAGAGCAATATATATAAGAAGTAAAAGGCTTTAATCATGTTGAGAATGATTTTCAAATGCACTGTGTAAACTATATAGCTATCATTCACTATGGAAGATATTTGCATCCACTAGTGGCCTTATTCTCTATGACAAAGGAAATTGCCTTTAGGTATTACACTTTTTTTAAAAAAAAAGATAATCTTCTAGTTAAGTAAATTAATTTAGCACAATAAAGCTCCCAAAAAATGGTGTTTTTGAGATGCTTCTTTTCTGAAAGCTCTACCTCCTTGCTCTTGGGCTGTTTATGGCTTAAAAACATTGCTATGTTATATTTGTTTGTTCTTCCATTGCCTCAAGCAGAGAAAAAATAGATGTGAGAAATGCATATATTAGAAAAGGTTCCAGACTGGTATTGGCTTCACAGAAAGTGAATTAATGAGCAAACTCATCTATGATTGAGTGTCTTTTCTGATTTGATGAGCAAGAGCTATTTAATTTAGTCAGTGCAGACACAGATGCCTTTAGGCTATTATAATTCATTACCTCAGTGCACGATGGAGATCTGTTTAGACTGGTTCTTGTTCTGTTCCAGTTTCAGCATGATTGGAGGGCTAGAGCACCTCTTCTATGAGGAAAGGCTAAAGGAATTAGGATTGTTCAGCCTGGGGAAGAGAAAGCTTCAAGGTGAACTAATTGCTGTCCTTCATTGCCTGAAGGGAACCTGCAGGAAAGCTGGAGAGAGGCTGTTTTACAAGAGCACATAGTAATGGGAAAAAGGGGAATGGTTTTAAACTGAGAGTCAATTTAGTTTCGATATTAGGAGGAAATTCTTTACTGTGTGTGTGGTGAGGCCCTGAAACAGGCCAATGCCCCGTCCCTGGAAATATTCAAGGCCAGGCTGGATGAGACCCTTAGCGACCTGCTCTACTGGAAGATGTCTCTGCCCATGGCAAGGGGCTTGGAACTAGATGATCTTTAATGTGCCTTTTAGTTCAAGGCATTCTATGATTCCATGATTTGAAGCTGGAAGACGGAATTAGGACTCTGAAAAAGACACTGCTTAGTGACCTACTTGAAATGGTTTCACTAACCAGCTGATGATTCCTACCACCATCTCATAAAGGAGCTGCTTTCCTCCAACAAGGCAACTACTGAGTCTTGTGGCTCATGTTTTGAAATGCTTTGCCTTGTAGATCTGGCTGAGTTGGGGTGAGTTGGGATCTTTCTGGTTAAGAGAGTAATTTGTATAATCTAATTCTGGGCAAGTGAAGTCTATATGTCTATATCTGAAGTCATCAACCAGAGTTCTCTTTACAATCAAGGGTTTTTTAGGATATGATTCTTCTGACTGTTTTGTAGGAGACCACTGCAGGATGAGATGAAACTCATCCTTAAAGGCAGTCATCAAGCTTAAGTTAGATCTTGACATGTACAGATAGTTGGACAACCCTCTAAACATTTCTGATCTTTTTTTTCCATTAAAAACCAGAAACTTATCTCAAGATATGAGGAGCGTCTGGCCAA